AGTTCCAGAAAAACATCTGTTTCTGCTTTATTGACTATGCCAAAGCCTTTGACTATGTGGATCTCAATAACTGTGGAAAATTCTGAAAGAGATGGGAATACCAGACCACCTGACCTGCCTCATGAGAAATCTGTATGCAGGTCAGGAAGAACTGGACATGGAACAACAGACTATTTTCAAATAGGAAAAGAAGTATGTCAAGGCTGTATATTGTCACCCTGCTTATTTAACTTCTATGTAGAGTACATCATGCGAAATGCTGGGCTGGATGAAGCACAAGCTGGAATCAAGATTGCTGGGAGAAATATCAATAACCTCAGATATGCAGATGACATCACTCTTATGGCAGAAAGCAAAGAAGAACTAAAGAGTCCCTTGCACTGCAAGGAGATCCAACCAGTCCATCCTAAAGAAAATAAGTCTTGAATATTCATTGGAAGGACTGATGGTTGAAGCTGAAACTCCAGTAATTTGGCCACCTGAAGTGAAGAGCTGACTCATTTGAAAAGATCCTGATGTTGGGAAAGATTAAAGGTGGAAGAAGGGGACAACAGAGGAGGAGATGGTTGGATGGCATCACCAACTCGATGGACATGAGTTTGAGTAAACTCCGGGAGTTGGTGATGGACAGGGAAGCCTGGCGTGCTGCGGTCCATGGGGTCGCAAAGAGTCGGACATGATTGAGCAACTGAACTGAACTGACTGATGGAGGGTCTCAGAACTATCACGGCACTGATGGGTGTTTCATTTAGCTGATGTATTACAATGAAGGTATAATGAGGCTCAAGTTCTACTAGGAGTGGAATCTTCCACCATTTTGGACCTAGTTGGTTCTAACCAGTTTTTGTCATGTCCTATGGCTATGTCATTCTTATAAATGTTGTGCCCTATCCCCTTCCCTCCTGTCTCAAAATGATGTCAGCTACAAATTGGTGCTTGCCAAGGGCATTTGCCATCTGTCTCTGAAGAGATTGAATCTAATCCTGCTGCAGCTGTTGACCTTCAACACACCCTAAAGGGAGCTCAGGGTGGAGAATGAGGCACTCTGTGCTCCAAAGAAACTGGTGGAACAGATCTTCAGATAACTAGTCATTTTCAGGAACTGATTTCAGGATTCCAGTCCTTGTATCTTCTCATAACTAAGTGAAGTGAAAGTCACTCAGTTATGTCTGACTGTTTGCAACCCCATGGAGTTTGCAACCCCATGGAGTTTGCGACCCCATGGACCCCATGGACAGTATTCTGGCCTGAATTCTCCAGGTAGCCTTTCCTTTCTCCAGGGAATCTTCCCAACCCACAAATCAAACCCAGGTCTCCTGCTTTGCAGGCAGATTCTTTACCAGCTGAGCCACAAGGGAAGCCCAAGAATACTGGAATGGGTAGCCTATCCCTTCTCCAGCAAATCTTTCTGATCCAGGAATTGAACCAGGGTCTCCCACACTGCAAGTGGATTCTTTACCAACTGAGCTATCAGGGAAGCCCTCTCATACCTAGGAAAGCACTAAAATCCCTTCAAGGTGACATCAGCTCCTCTTGACTAGCAGAAAACCTTCTGTAAGATAAGTGCTGGGTTGCATTGAACTCCCCCTTCATCACAATCATATATATTGACCTTCCCCCTCTACCTCTTTGGGACAGTTTCTCAGACCTACCTGAGGTGCTATCTCCCAGGTTGCAGTCCTCATTTTGCCCCAAGTAAAACTTGCAACTCTATAGGTTGGCATCTTTTTTAAGTTGACAGTGACAAGTTTGCCTCAAAACAGTATTCGGTGGAGGTGGGAAGGGAAAGTGGCTGAGCATGTAGATGAAGCAAGACTGGCCATGGTTTGAAAGTTGTTGGGACTGGATGATGTATACATGGGTGCATTATACTATTTTATTAATTTTTGTTAAAATTCAAATTTTTCCATTATACAAAGTTTTAAAAAAGAGAGAATGATAAGATACAAGAAGGAGAAAGAAGTGATGGGGAGGGGGAGATTGAAGGAAAAAGGAGGAGAGTAAATTAAGTCCTAGGTTTTTGCTTGAGCAGTTGAGCAGCTGATTGTGCCATTCTTGAGCTGGTGAAGAGAATGGGCAGAGAGTTAGACAAGAGGTTTGAGGGGTGTCATAAGCCCCACTTTGGACACATCATGTTTGACACATCCAAGAAACATGCTGAGGAAGATGTAAACAACTGGATATGCAAGTCGAATGAAACTCAGAGGGAAAAACTGCCCCAAAAAGATAAATATGTGAATTATTAGCATAGACCAGTATTTAAAGTCATGAAAATGAATGATATTAGTTAATGAGAGAATGTAGACAAAGGGAGATCCAAGGTCAAACCCAAAGAAACAAATTTAGAAGACTGAGCAAGTGAGAAAGAACTTAAAAGGGGCAGGGGGAGTCTAAGAAGTAACACCTAGGAGGATGATATAGAAACAAGAAGAGTGGGGAGCTCCCTAGTGAACCAGTGGTTAAGAATCCATCTTCCAATGCAGGGTACACCTGTTCAATCCCTGGTGAAAGTGAAAGTCGCACAGTCGCACAGTAACCAACTCCTTGCAACCCCATGGACTATACAGTCCATGGAATTCTCCAGGCCAGAATACTGGAGTGGGTAGCCTTTCTCTTCTTCAGGGGATCTTCCCAACCCGGGGATCAAATCCAGGTCTCCCGCATTGCAGGCAGGTTTCTTACCAGCTGAGTCACAAGAGAAGCCCCAGTCCCTGACAGGGGAATTCAGATTCCACATGCCACCAGGCAGCTAAGCCTGACCACCACAGCACCAAAATGAAGACCAAAACGATGCCAAGCAGAGCCCTGTGGGACTCCTGGGCAGGGAGGCTTTTTTGTCCCCGTTTCTTACAAGCAAGACTTCAGCCTCCATAGGCCTTCCCTGGTGGCTCAGAGGTTAAAGCATCTGCCTGCAATGCAGGAGACCTGGGTTCGATCCCTGGGTTGGGAAGACCCCCTGGAGAAGGAAATGGCAACCCACTCCAGTATTCTTGGCTGGAAAATCCCATGGACAGAGGAACCTGGTGGTCTACACACCACGGGGTAGCAAAGAGTCGGACATGACTGAGCGACTTCACTTTCTTTCAGCCTCCATGACCTTTTCTCAGTTCCCAACAGCAGAACAGTTACTAATCATAGGAGGAACAGCAATGAAACCCCCTGAGGCAAAATTAAAGCACCAGAGAGGTTCATCAAGATTAGGAGACTGGACCACCTAAGACCCTGGTGCATTCGTGCTCAGTCATGTCCGACTCTGGGACCCCATGGACTGTAACCTGTCAGGCCCTCCTGTCCATGGAATTTTTCAGGCTAGGATACTGGAGTGAGTTGCCATTTCCTACTCCAGAGGATCTTCCTGACCCAAGGATCGAACTCCTCTCTTGCTGTCTCCTATACCGGTAACCTAAGAGCCTGCACACACCCTAATCTTGTCAGCAACCCCACCTTTTTGACACTTTACAGAAGAAAGAATACAAGACTGTCACGTCCTCATCACTACACCTGCCTGACCTTATAACCTCTGCCTACTCACCAGGGACAAGGGGCACAGTTCTTGAGGTGCGATCCCACTGTGTTCCCCCTTAACCTGGCCAGCTGACAAAGCCACTCTTTTCTTCTCCTCCATAATTCTGTCTCTGTATTTCTGTTGGCTTTGGTGCACAGAGAGCCAAGATTTGGTCAACATAAATGAAGCCAAAAAAAAAAAGGAAGAATAAGACTGTTGGTACAGCCTACAAGAGATAATATTCCAAGGAGGATGTAGTGGGCAACTGAAGCTGGTGAGGGGTCAAATAAGATAAGAACAGGGAATAGCCACTGGATCTTGCAATGTGAAGGTCATCCACAGCCAAGATAAGAACAGTTTTTATTGGAGCAATGGGTGAGAGGGGGTGGAAGAATGAATGAAAGGTGAAGAGATTTAGATAACATTAGCTGTGAAGAATTATTATTAACTGTGAAGTCATAATCTATAAAACAAGGTGGTAGCTCAAGGGAGGTATAGAGTCAGAAGAGTGGAGTTTTTATTAACCTGGTGTATATTAGAACATGTCAGTATGTTGAAAGATCCATGAAGGGATAGAGATAAATGATTTAGGAGAAAGAGGAGATAAAACTAAGATTAGAATTCATAGTAGCATTGCATTCTTGTGTTCATAACACAGAAAAAGTCTAAACAACTGAAATGGACATCACCTATGAATGCATAAACAAATTACAGTACATCATACAATGGAATGTTGTCTGGACATAAACAGGTTGAAACATTGATACATGCTTCAACATAAGTGAACATTGAAAACATTATGCAATGTGAAAGAAGCCCATCACCAAAAGCTACAAGTAGAATGATTCCATTTACATGAAATGTCCAGAACAGGTAAACCCATAGAAATGGAAGGCAGATTGGTGGTAATGGGAAAGCTGGAAAAAACAGAGTGAGCACTACTAAGCCTGGAGTTTCTTTAGGGGGTGAAGAAAATGTTCTAAAATTGACTGTTGTCATGTTTGCCCAATTCTAAACATACTAAAACCACGGAATTGCATAATTTAAATGGGTAAATTTTATGGCATGTGAATTGTGAATTATCTCAATAAAGTTGTGTAAGTAAAAAAAAAAAAAGGTTGGGATATAATAGAGACCTAAACAGAGAGATTAACCCTAGGCAGAACAACACAGCCTCCATTGTAATAAAGGTGGAAGGATGGGAGAAGATGCAGAAAATCTGTAGGTCTTGTGATAGAAAATACAGTTTACATCTGATCATTTCTCCCATAAAGTATGAGGTAAATTCATCAACTGGGAGTAAGGATAGAAGAAAAGTTACAATAGGATTGAGGATAGAGGACTTGGAATGACATATTCATCTCAATACTTACTTAACACTATGAAATACTTTTATCTCAATCATTCTGAATGGATGCATTAGTTAAGGTCCAGTCAGGCAGTTTCATCCTAGCAATTTCAAACAGAAGCAATGCAATGTACATAACTGGTTTAAATGGAGATGTTGGGAAGGTTGAAGAAGGAAAAGGAAGAAGGGATGATACCCAGAGATCATAAGCTGCAAACACCCCTGGGCTGGATCCCACAGATCTCTGCTGCTATTCTGTTGTCAATGCTGTCACAGCACGATCTCCACTTGCCAAAGACGGCAGAGCTAGCATTGCTGAAGGAAGTACAGCCTTTGGCTGCGGCTTACAGAGCCGTGAATCGCCCATCCTCACCGCGACTGCAGAACTGCCACTGCCAACAACAGCCACACCGTCCAGCTGGAAACAGGAGGTGCCCTCTTGCTCCACAGGCTGATCTCCGTGAATGCTTACTGTCGGCAGAGCTCACAGCAAGGGAGCCAGGTGAATGTAGCCTGCAGACTTTTAATCCCAGAAATGCAGAGCAAGGTATAAAAGGGTGGGTGAAAGCCTGAGAGAAAAATACGTATAACCTATGGGAAAGTATTAGAACCATTCCTATTAATTTCAGGAACAGGAAAACGGTATGGCAGGAACCAACCGTTTGCAACCGTTGCAACCGAATTGCAACGTTGTAAAGCAATTATCCTCCAATTAAATCTTTTTTAAAAAACTACAAATAGAAGGAAAAAAAAAGAACAAGTTCAGGAATTTAGTATCCATACTACTATTTAACATTATTCTGAAGGCATTAGTTAAAGCAAGTAAATAAAAGAAAAAAATAAAAGATATAAAAATTGGAAAGGAACAAGTAAAATCATCATCATTTACACAGATCATTTTAGACCCAGAAAGTCCAAATAATTAAATAGAAACAATTGTTATAAATAATGAAAGGGATTTCCCTGACAGTCCAGTGGTTAAAACGTCACCTTCCAATGCAAGGAGTGTGGGTTTAATCCCTGGTGAGAGAGCTAAGATCCCACATACCTCGTGGCCAAAAACCCAAAGTATAAAACAGAAGCAATATTGTAACAAATTCAATAAAGACTTTAAAAAAATAAGTAAATACAATAAACAATGAGAGTATTTAGTAAGATGACTGGGTACAAAATAAATAAACAGAAATAAAAAATTGTGTATATACATATGCAAATGGAAACAAGTTAGAAGATACAAATGAAGAACTGCTGCTGCTAAGTCACTTCAGTCGTGTCCGACTCTGCGACCCCAGAGATAGCAGCCCACCAGGCTCCCCCGTCCCTGGGATTCTCCAGGCAAGAATACTGGAGTGGGTTGCCATTTCCTTCTCCAATGCATGAAAGTGAAAAATGAAAGTGAAGTAGCTCAGTCATGTCTGACTCTTAGCGACCCCATGGACTGCAGCCCACCAGGCTCCCCCGTCCCTGGGATTCTCCAGGCAAGAATACTGGAGTGGGTTGCCATTTCCTTCTCCAATGCATGAAAGTGAAAAATGAAAGTGAAGTAGCTCAGTCATGTCTGACTCTTAGCGACCCCATGGACTGCAGCCCACCAGGCTCCTCCGTCCATGGGATTTTCCAGGCAAGAGTATTGGAGTGGGGTGCCATTGCCTTCTCTGAAATGAAGAACAGATGTCTTATATTGACCAAAAAATAAAATAACTAGAAATAAACTTAAGAAACGTTCAACATATCTGAAATACTGCTGAGAGGACCAAAGAAGACGTGAATCGAGAACACTTGACACAGTCTTGAGCAAGACCCGCCAGTTCTCAGCACAGGCCCAGGGAAACGGCCACAGCACACAGCACACTCGCCGTGAAAGACTGAAATCTCCTTGAAAGTGAGGAACAGCAAAAGGACAGCTGCTTTCACCACTTCTATTCCACACAGCACTCGAAGTTCTAGCCAGAGCAATTAGGCAAGAAAAATAAATTTTAAAACAATGAAATTGAGAAGAAAAGTAAAATTATCTTTGTTTGCGTATGATCTGATCTTTTATGTAGAAAACCCTAAAGATTACACACACACACACACAAAGCTTTTAAAACTAATAAATAAATTCAGCAAAATGGAAGGTTACAAAGTCAACACACAAAAATCAGTTGCAACTCTATACATGAACATGAACAATATGAAAAATCCATTTACAATAGAAAAGAACAAAATATTTCAGAATTAACCAAGGAGGTGAAAGATATGCAATGAAACTATAAACCATTGCCAAATGAGAGACTTCCCTGGTGGTCCAGGGGTTAAGACTCTGAACTTTCACTTCTGGAGGCACAAGTTCAATCTTTGGTCAGAGAACTAAGATCCCACATGTTGCATGCAGCCATAAAAAAGAGAGATTATTCAGGCTTAAAAGGAAAAAAAGTATTCTATATGCTACAACATGGATAATCTTGAGAACATCATGCTTAGTGAAATAAGCCAGTCACAGGAATATAAACACCATATGACTTCTACTGAGAGCAGTCACATAGAATCACAAAGAGAGAAAGTACAGTGGTGCTTGCCAGGGGCTAGGGCGAGGAGAGAATGGAAAGTTACTGTTTAATGGATGCAGAGTTTCAGTTTTACCAAAAAAAAGAGTTATGGGGATGAATGTGGTGATGCCTACTGGTGAAGATGGTAAGTTTTATGTAAAGTGTATTTTACCACAAGCAAAAAAAATTAAATGACGTTGCCGAAACAAGAGTATTTGTTGTTGCTGTTGTTCAGTCACCAGCTCTTCAGCCCAACTCTTGACAACCCCATGGATTACAGCACGCCAGGCTTCCCTGTCCCTCACCAGCTCCCAGAGTTCGCCAAGTTCATGTCCAAGAATAACTACACATTTTAAATAAATGAGTACATAGCCATTCCACATGCAGGTATTTACACATGGGAAATGCGAGCATATATCCACACAAAGACATGTACAAAAATGTTCACAGCAGTTCTGTTCATAATAGACAAAAACTGGACACAACCCAAATGTTCATCAGCAACTGAGTGGATAAATAATTTGGGGTAAATCCATAAAATGGAATGCCACTCAACTACTTTCCATAAAATAGAATACCACAAATCAGTTTTGCTGATTATCAAAAGTTGTTGATTTTCTTTTCTCTAAACGAAAACTTCCTTTGCACCTGTGCATGGGCACTATGCAAGAAAAATTACAATCACCTGAAATCTCACAAACAGCCTTTTCCAGGGCCAGTGACGGCCTCCGGGGGAGGATGAGTTTAAACAAGGTCCCTGGCTGGGGCAGGGGCTCTGTCCAAGCCCACTGCCCAGTCCAGCGGGGGCGCTCAGGGGAAAGGTCTGGGGACAACTCCTGAGTCCAGCAGGGCTGAACTATTTCGGGAAAGAGTCTCTTACACAGGGCTGGAGCTGGGGCAGCCCCCGGCAGAGAAGTTTTGTGACCCCCGCCACGCCCCTCCTCCCAAAGTTAAGGCACTTTCGTTTCTGTGCTTCTATCTGGGGCAGAGGCATGTGAGTTTACAAAGCCCTGGGGGTGTTCCAGGGGCACTCAACCAGAATCCCCAGCTTACATAAACTGAGCAGAACCTGAGGCCAGGACGTGCCTATGCGTCAGCTTGCCTTGGCGTCTGTCCCCCTGAAGCTGTGATCTGAGAAGGAGCTCCCTTCCCCCTCCCCTCATCCCTCTGAGATGACCACACACACCAACCTCTTCAACCCAGCAGAGCATTCCAGAACTCAGGACACACCGACACCACCTGTTTCTTCGCCCCCTCTTCCCCCACTTTATTATGCCCCTATGTAATAAAATTTGTTAAAGAGCCTGTGGGACTTTGGGATTGCTGCTCTCTGGAGGAATTCAAACACCCACTGCACCCCAGCAGAGAGGAAACAGGGAGCAAAGTCCTCTTGCAAGGTTAAAGAAGACTCACGCGCAGGTCAGCGGCAGCTGAGCAGAGACCGGCCAGTCTCCCCACGGAAGCACCACTCGGGGCCAGGCTGCCATGGACGCCCTGGTCCGACTCCTGCAGCTGCTGGTGTTTCTCCTGACCCTCCCCCTGCACCTCATGGCTCTACTGGGTTTCTGGGAGCCCCTGTGCAAGACCTATTTCCCCTACCTGATGGCCGTGCTGGCGGTCAAGAGCAACCGAGTGATGGAGAGCAAGAAACGGGAACTCTTCAGCCAGATAAAGGGGCTGGCAGGTGCCTCGGGGAAGGTGGCCCTGCTGGAGCTGGGCAGTGGCACCAGTGCCAACTTCCAGTTCTACCCAACTGGCTGCAAGATCACCTGCCTGGACCCCAATCCTCACTTCGAGAAGTTCCTGACAAGGAGCATGGCCAAGAACAGGCATCTCGAGTATGAACGGTTTGTGGTGGCTTTCGGAGAGTACATGAGCCAGCTGGCCGACGGCTCCATGGACGTGGTGGTCAGCGCCTTGGTGCTGTGCTCCGTGCAGAGTCCAAAGAGTGTCCTGCAGGAAGTTCGGAGAGTTCTGAGCCCGGTGAGCAGAAAGGGAAGGATCTGGGCGTGGAGCAGCAACGTGGCATCGGCCGCCCCAGTGTCCAGGGCACCCAGGATGGGGTATCTCCTTACTAGAGCATGAGTCACCCATCCCCAACTGCTTTTGATCAGGAGATATGTCCAGGGCCCGGCTGGGGCAGGATAGGGTGCTGTGGAAGCACACGGCAAAGCCACCGAACAAAGTGGGGGGACATGAGTGGAGGACATCCAGGGACATGGCGTTTAAATGGAGACCTGAGGGGTTAGGCAGGCGGTGGAGAGAGTGTGGGAAACAAAAGCGTGTTCTAGGTAAAGATGTTAGAAGAGGAATCCATACCGGGACTCCCATGGTGGCTCAGATGGTAAAGAATCTACCTGACTACCAGAAGATCCGAGTTCGATCTCTGAGTCAGGAAGACCCCCTGGAGAAGGGAATGGCTGCCCACCCAGGTATTCTTGCCTGGAGAATTCCACAGACAGAGGAGCCTGGCAGGCTTCAGTCCATGAGGCCACAAAGAGTCAGACATGACTGAGCAACTAACACACAGAATCCATAAGATTGGGAACTGGACATGGAGAGAAAGGAGTTCAGGATGGTTTCCAGGTTTCTGGCATAAATGACTAGTGGAGGGAGTGAAGGAGGGTAGACGGAAGTGCTGTCTGCAAGAAAGAAGAAACCTGCTCTGGACTTGTGAGGCCTGAGGTGCTATGGAGACAGCCAGGCAAGAGACACAGAGGCAGCCGGATATCTAGATCTGTAGGACAGCAAACGATGTAGCCTGGGGATTTAGATCTGGAAGTCAGCAGCTTGCAGCTGGTAAATTCCAGGCCTAGGGGTGCGTGAGATCCCCGAGGGAGGGTGCAGTGAGGAGGGAGATGGGGGAGCTCTTGCTCAATAAGGAGCCCAAGTGCAAGGTGTCCCTGGGATGCTGGCTGAGATGTCTGGAACGCAGGCATCCGGGTCTCTGGGAGGGCTCTGGGGGAGCATCTTTGTATGCAATGACGTCTGTGCCCCTGGTTCTCCACCTCCCCATCTGTCTGCCCACAGCTAAGCTGTCCTTCTGGTCATTGTTCAAAGATCTCTCACCAGGCAACCCCCTGGGTCACCGGAGGCGTTTCACACTGGCTTTGAGTGGATGGGAAAGAGTCAGGGGATGCAGAGAAAGTCAAGAGCAGGATGCTTTCTGCCCCCTAAACTTGCAGACTGGCACCTCCCACTCCACCAGGAGGCTCTGATCAGGCTAGGTCAGCGGATGGTGTGAGGTCAGAGGAAGGAAGTGGAGCAGGTGGGTGATGCGCTCTCTTCTCTTACAGGGAGGAGTGCTCTTTTTCTGAGAGCACGTGGCAGAGCCGCGTGGAAGCTGGGCCTTCCTGTGGCAACAAGTTTTAGAGCCCACCTGGAGGCACATTGGGGACGGCTGCCACCTCACCAGAGAGACCTGGAGAGACCTGGAGGACGCCCAGTTCTCTGAACTCCAAGTGGAACAACACCCTCCTCCCATCAAGTGGTTACCTGTAGGGCCGCACATCATGGGAAAGGTGGTGAAATGAGCCTTCCCCAAATCCTGCCTCTGGTCGGTCAGTCGGACGATCCCACCCACCCAAGGCTCCCTTCTCCTAAGAGGGATCCAGGCCGACGGAAACCGTTCCCTGCCACCCATCCCTCCTCCCCCCCACGTCTGCCGGGGGGAACATCTAACTTCAACCCTCCCTTCTGCGGTGAAAAAGCTCTATTCCCACCCTGACCACAGGGAGCAGAGAGTCAAACCCTGTCGCCTCCTCAACTGCAAAGTCATGCACTGGGTCTCCCAATTTTTCCCCACCCACTCCCAGGACACCTCCCCATCCCTTCCCCATGTTCCCCCTCCCCTGCTTCTCAGACCACACCCAAGTGCCCCCGGATGTGACCACAAAAGTCACCAACGTCCCTGCCAGGCCCCTGCGCCCCCTCCCACCACCGCCTGAGCTGCGGGGATGCAGAGAGAACCGGCCTCTCTGGAGACCCTGGGTATGAGGAAGCAGGATTCAGCAAAAAAGACAGAGGTTTTGTCCTCAAATATTTTTCAATAAATAGACAAAATCCACTACATTGATGCAGCAAACTAAGGTCAGAGAAGAGGGGAAGCTAGGGAGGGAAGAGCCCCTGAGTCAGCGACGTAACCTCCTCCCCACCCTCTGGGCTTAAGGCACTTTCGGGAGACAGGTCCTTGGGGTCCCATTATACAGACTGAGCGGGAGAGGGAGGGACTAGGGTCCCTTCTCCCCACTTTTGAATCAGGACACCGCTGCCCTTCTCACCCTCCCCCACCACCCATCCCTGATTTACCCCTCTCATCTCACAGCATCATAAGGGGAAGTTTGGCTAGGGGGCTGATCCTCATGGCGGGCAGAGATGTGTGCTCCAGAGGAAAGAGATCCTGCCAAATCTGGATGGGACACCAGCAACCCAGTCTACCCTCGTCATCCCCAGGAGCACTGGGGAAGGGCTGCAAGGGGCCCATAGGCCGGGCCAGGGTGGAGAAGGCTAGGCTGTGCCTGGCACCGGGTGCCCCTCAGAGCCCAGCTCCGGGTGCCCATCCCCAGCCAGGATGGGGTGGGCATCTGGGCCCTCCCGCCGGGGGCTGCCCCAGTTGTTCCTCAGGATGGTGCCCGTCTTCTCCTCCTTGAACTGCTGCCGGTCTTCCCGCGGGATCTTCACCGCATGGTACTGGGGTACGGTGGCTTCAGGGTACCGCGCTCGCTTGAAGAATCCCATCTGGAAGAACAACAGGCCAGACATGAGGAGCCTGCAGGGCTGGGGTCCCTGGAGCACAGGCCCAGCACAGCCCAGGTGCTGTCCCACCATCCCTGGGACAGAAAGAACCAACGGCAGCCTGTGCCAGAAGCAGTCCGCACAGGCGTCTCCATCAACGCTGGGTTCCCCCAGCTCTCATGCACAGCAGGAGAAAGGCAGGAGGGGCCTGAGCTGCAGGACCAAGGACATCCCCCTTGGCACCTGAAAGAGGGGTTGAAGGCAGAACTTCAGGACCGCTGCCCCAAAGATTTTGACATCCCTAAGCTTTTTAAGAGATGCAACAGCATCCCTGAGAACACAAACAAGATCTAAGGGAAAATGTGGCTTCCTAGACCCCTGCAAATTCCAGAATGATTCTTCTCAAGCCTGATACACACAATACCTGCCTACTGGGCAGCATCGCCCTTAAGGTGGGCCCTCTCCCCTGTGGCCCCTCCCTCAATCATGAGCATGCTGGCCCTTACATAAGATGGAAGGGTGCCCCTGGCACACTCACACTCAAGACCTCCGAGGACTCTGGCACGCTGGACTGCATGGCATATCCTTGCACTGTGTCTCTGCACTCTCATGCCCACAAAAAAGGCATGCAGCGCACCTCCCAGCACTCCCCACATGCTCACGCTCCAGGAGCCCACCCAGCCTTCGCACATGCCTCGGGCTGGGTTATGCTCACCCTTACAACCTCACCCTGACAGTCACCTCCCACCCCAGTTCCTGGAACTCACAGTACCCTCATGCAATCTCCTTTCTTCTCTTTGCGTATTCCTGAATGCTGGGAGCTCAGCTTACACTCACACACATACTCCCTACCACATACAAACCTGGACACACACATGCTCACACCCAACAATTACCCCACAGTCCCTGGACCCCCAGCTTCCACAGCTGAGGGCTGCACGGCCAGCCGGGCCCGGTGATAGTTGGTGGGAAAAGATGAGCTCTGACTGCTCCGACGGAAGAAGCCACACTGGGATGTAGGGAGGAGGGGACAGAGGAGGTGGAGGATGGGGAGGCCGAGGAAGGACGAGGGCCCCTATCTCTGCTCTGTCCCACTTCCGTGGGAGTGGGCAGCAGAGACCTTGGACCCAGCTCCTCAAAGGCCTCAATCTCCCTTAAGAATGGCAAGGTTCCCAACAGTCTGGATGCCCAGAGGCCTGATGATACACATTTGCCAGAATCTGTGCCTGGCCTGTGATTGGTCCTAGGGAGGGGGGCAGCTCTCCAGAGGGCCCCCCGGGCACGTGTGGCTCCACATGGCTCAGATGTGGCATGTGGTTCGGGGCATGGCCGCTGATGATGGACGTGATTCTCGGTACTGACATATACATGTGTGTGCTCTTATGTGGAGCCCTGGATGCACACCTGATTCTGGCTACACTCTGTGTGTGAGAATGGTTCCGCGTAGACCCTGGTATGTGGCGGCTCGGAGTTCAGTCCTGGAGACAGTTCCCTGGGGGCAGTTCTCCACCCTGGTTGGCTTTCTCCCCAGCCTTAGCCACCATGCTCTAGTTAAATCAGGCCACACTTCCCTGCCTCCATGACTCTCCCCTCCCATGGTGCTTCTGAAAGGCCCAGACCCACATTCCATTCCCCACATCCAGATCCTACTACTCCACCTTCTGAGGCCCTTCCCGGGCCACCTGCTCTCAGGCTTCCCCTCCCCTGAATTCCCACTGTGCCTTCTTGACCTAGTTCGCTCCGGATGACAAGGCTCCCCTCCCCGGCTAGACGACAAAAGCCCTGAGAACAAGACCTACATCTGACTTATCCCCAAAACACCCAAGGCCTGATAGAGATGTTGGCACACACGGGTAAGTGCTTAACACAGATTTCTGAATAAATGGGCCGGTGGGTGTGAGAACCGCAGCCTGACGGGGGGCCCCGCCACCACTGGCACCAGCCTCCCCACGCCTCACCTTCCACATGAGCAGCACCAGCAGCGCCAACACCAGCAGCCCGGCTAGTACAGCCAAGAGGATGACCCACCAGGGGACACCTTCGGCCAGCACAGCCGCGGGGTCCAGGTACACCATCACCGGGATCTGGGCGTGAGGGGCGAAGGGCGCAAAGGCTGGAGCAACTGGAGAGATGAGCTACCCTGGCCGCACCTCCCCGGGAGCCTGAGCCAGGCAGCTCACCACCGTGGAAGCGTCTCTGAGCAGCAAGTTCTTGATGGAGGACTTCACGGTGATGTTGGCTCGGACAATCACTTCCAGAGACTTCACAGCGGAGTACTCCTAAGGGAGCAGGCGGGGAGAACCTCCTCCTAGTGCCCCATGCCTCCACCTCCCGCCAGCTCCTGAAGCTGTAAATGGAATGGCGCCCAACACAGAGGGTGTTTCTGTCTGTCTCGGGTTGAGAGCATGCTGCCTCTGGACCGGGAGGAAGGAGAAGGAAAAGTGGGTCCCAGATGAGCTACTGGGGAAGAGAAGCCCAGCTGTCCTCTCACCTCCAGGAAGGTGCTGTTCCAGAGGCGGCCCCAGACATGCAGCACGGCCGCACGGTCAAAGCTGTAGAGAGGGCAGCTGAACACCACGCAGTTGGCCGTGCCCCGGGCGCAGTCCTGGGGACGGGACAGGCAGGGCTCTGAACTGCTTGGCCCCGCCCCGCCAGGCCACCCAGGGCCCAGCAACCCTCACGAATGTGGTCACACAGACACCTCTGCTCAGAGCCTCCCCTCCATTCCTCTAGGAGCCCCCTTTTCCCCAGCTCTTCAGAATCTTTCCTGTTTTCCTTTCCTGACTTTAAACTCTCCTCCTCCAAGAAGTCTTCCCAAACTAGCCCTGTGGTCTAGAATAGCGGCCTACCCCAAATCTGGGCTATTTGGCTTTGAAATGCATGGGGAGCAGGGAGGAGATCTCTTGACAACAGCGGGCAGCCAGAGTAGCTTCCCCAGTAGATGCACATGTTACCTAACGATGACCTCATTTATTGAGCACCTACTATCTGCAAGGTACTTACCTCATTTAAACTCACAACTGTCCTGCAAGGTGCAGATTATTATCATCCCCATTTTTCAAACTAGGAAATTAAAGTTTAAAGAATCCAGTGGCCAGTCTCAGGCCACAAAGCTAGCAAGGCTGGTGGAGCAGACACTTGAACCCAGGTCCAGAATGGGCAAAGCCGCACTCCTCTGCAAGGCCCAACTCACTGAAGGAAGACGTGGCTGCCCCAGGAGCTGCTCAGGGGACAGGGACTGAGCCACTGCTCCTTCCAGGTCTGACCTAAATCCATTTGGTACAACCTCACCTAACGGACCATCCGCCCAAAAACTAATGTTCTATTCATCACACTTCCCGTACAGAAGAATGGCTTCGAGCGTATTTGAATTCTCTGCATCATCCCTTATTTTGCCACTGTAGAGTAATTCAAGAATCCTTTGTCAATTTGTCTAAAAGTCACTTTAAGTAAAAGAATCCATTTCAAAATGTTTTTTTAAGATTTTTTTTTTTCTTGATGTGGACCACTTTTGAAGTCTTCACTGAATTTGTTACAATACTGTTTCTGCTTTATATTTTGGGTTTCTGGCCAAGAGGCATGTGGGATCTTAGCTCCTCGACCAGTGATTGAACCCGCACCTTCTGCATTGAAAGGCAAAGAACGCCTGGACTGCCAGGGAAGTCCCCCATTTCAAAGTACTTATCAAGAAGGGTGGCCCTGGGACTTCCCTGGTGGCCCAGTGGTTAAGACTCCATGCTTCCAAGGCAGGGGACATGGGTTCGATCCCTGGTTGGGAAACTAACATCTCACACGCCACAGGGCACAACCAGAAAAAAGATCAAAGGTGGCCTTTCAGTAGAAATCAGTCAGCTGGAGTAAGCAGGACTATCCACTTAACAAGGAAATAGCAATTACACGAGCTCATACTACCCCTGGGGCCTTCCTTGGTGGTTCAGACAATAGAATCCACTTGCAATGCAGGAGACTTGAGTTCGATCGCTGGGTCTGAAAGTTCCCTTGGAGAAGGGAATGGCAACCCACTCCAGTATTCTTGCCTAAAAAATCCCATGGACAGAGGAGTCTGGCGGGCTATCATCCATGTGGTTGCAAGCAGTCGGACATGACTGAATGACTAAGCACACACATTCTATCCTTGTGAAGCTTCTGGCCACGCTTTCAAGGGGGCCAGGAAAGCTAGGGGCCCCCAGGAAGGATGGACTGTGGCAGGGGAACTTTCTCCCAGACACACCACCAGAGTTGCCCAACTGCTGCCCTCCCCCTGCAAAGGTCTCTCTGCCTGTTTCTGCCTCTATTGCACATCCTTCCATGTGGAGGAGTCACCTTTGTTTTCGCCTCTTTTGCACATCCTTCCGTATGTAGGAGTCACCTTTCTGCCAAGCCAAGCACCACCCTGGTCCGTTCACCACGCCCCCCGACTCTCACGGCCAGCGCCATCCTACGACGGACAGCACAGAGCCTGCGCTAACTCGCTCAGAGAGTCCATTCGGCAACGTAAGCACATGAAACAAGCGGCAAAGGGGAGGCCAAACTGCTTGAAAAGGAGAAACCTATGAATCACAGAAATATCCTATCAAGTTAATTATTAGAACTTCTAAAAACCTTTTTGACATGGTATGTTTAACATGGTGAAAACCATGTCAAATTTCCTTATGCAAACTGACTTTTTGTCCTAAAAGAACTCAAAAGAACTTCAAAGAGACCTCAGAGGTGGCTAAAACCACCCCAGCCCCTCTAAAATGTGACCTTCCATAGGAAGGCACAGGGAACTAGCTGCAGCTAAGCACCCTGGTCTGGAGTGAACACCTGGTGGGCGCTGGGGAAGCTGGGGTGGCGGCAGCTGCCCCCCGGTGTGACGCATCTGGGCAGCTTGCCCCAGGGGCCTGGCCATCACCCCTCGTCACAGGCTGCCGGCACCCTGAAGCTCCGCGCGCTCCCCTTGCCCCTACGTCTGTCATGCCACCTCCCATGCCCACTGTCCTGGCCGGACCGCGTGGGCCCTGCCCTCACCAGAGTGAAGTTCTTCTTCTTCTCAGCAGAGGACACCGGCCACCAAGACGTGCTGGGCTCCGGCTGCTCTCGAGGCTGCTGCGACTCCGGCGGCCCCAGCTCCCGCCTCCTCCTGTCCCGGCTGTCCACATCCTGAGGCGGGGCAGGGGGGGAGGGGGGAGCCCGGGGTGGGGGGGCCCCAGTGAGGGTCCCTCCAAACGCAGCAAGAAGAGATGGCACCTCTTCCCCAGCAGCTTCCTCCACAGGCCCCCAGCCCCACGGCAGCCTTCGCAAAGTCTGAACCCCACGCGCCCCACCTCCACACCCCCACCCTGCTCCAGCGGCCCTAACCCCCTCGCCTGAGCCTCACCAGTTGGAGGACGTTGGGCCTGGGGGAGCAGAGCCCCCTCTGCCCGGGCCCCTGCCCACCCTCCAGCTCCACCCGCATGGGGTACAGCAGCCACTTCCCGTTGGCAATCTCGTGGGGCCACATGACGTTGAGGAAGGCCGAGCCCAGGGTGTTGAGCGACTGGCCTTGGTTGGAAACCTGTGGGCACAAGAGTGTGAAGTAGCAGTGTTCGTCGCTCAGTCGCGTCCGACTCTCTGAGACCTCACGGACTGCAGCCTGCCAGGCTCCTCTGTCCAAGGGATTCTCCAGGCAAGGACACTGGAGTGGGTTGCCATTTCCTTCTCCAGAGGATCTTCTTGACCCAGGGATCGAACTGGGGTCTCCTGCATTGCAGGCAGATTCTTTATCATCTGAGCTACAGGGAAGTCCCTTGATACTGTAGAAAATGCAATACATTTTATATCATTTTGTAATGACATGGCCTTACAATTTTCACTCACCTCTAAGAATATCTAAGACTAAAATCCCACTATAAGCCAGTTGGATTACCAAGTGAGGAAAAATATTCTTTGTTTACTGCTCCACTGACTTCACTTCTGTGTGATTATGAAGACTGAAAGTGACACAGACATGACTATTTAACCTTTCCCTGAAGGTTTCAGGTTGGTAACCTGGAGGGCAAGGGCATCCAGAGCATTGTGTAACTTTACTTGATCTCTGATTCCTAAACTGCAACCCACTAGCAGTTTATTATTTAGCGGAATCAATTTAATGGGTTGCAATCAGCATTTGAAAAAAAATTAATAGAATAAAATAAAATAAAATAACACCTGGTTTTACCACATGCAGCGAGGAAGGAGTGTTCTATAAAATTTTTATTTATGTTAGATGTAAACGTGTTTGGGCTTCCCTGGTAGCTCAGCTGGCAAAGAATCCACCTGCAATGAAGGAGACCTGGGTTCCATCTCTGGGTTGGGAAGATCCCCTGGAGAAGGGCACGGCAAACCCACTCCTATATTCTTGCCTGGAGAATCCCCAAGGACAGAGGAGCCTGGCGGGCTATACTCCATGGGGTCACAAAGAGTCGGACATGACTGAGGAACTAAACATATATACATGTTTACTAGAAAATGATATAAAATGTAGAATACCCTAAAAATGCTTGAAAATAGCTGCCTTATAAAACAATATATAGAAAAAATCGTGAATAAATCAATAAGGACACTCTCATATAATGTGATTCTTTAATAACATAAGTTCACAGATCAGTAGAGACTTGAAATGCTCTTGAAGTACTTAAACATGAAGTCTCCTAGAAAACCCTGATCACAGTTTTCATGTGAAAGTGAAAGTTGCTCAGTCGTATCCGACTCTTTGAGACTCCATGGACTATACAGCCCATGGAATTCTCCAGGCCAGAATACTGGAGTGAGTAGCCTTTCCCATCTCCAGGGGATCCTCCCAATCCAGGGATCAAACCCAGGTCTCCCTCATTGCAGGAGGATTCTTTTTTTTTTTTTTAGGAGGATTCTTTACCAGCTGAGCCACTAAGGAAACACAGTTTTTATATACTTTCCCCTAAATATTTCCATACCTACAAACCCAAAATGTTTTAGATGGTTTAGTGGATTCATAGACATGGTAAATTCAATCTAGAATTGTTTAGAATTCCTGCTTTAAATATTTTAAGCACCTAAAATTTCCTTAGAAAGTAGTAGAATCTCCCTGTCCTTACGCAGAAGCAAAACTCAAGATCTAAAGATTCCGAATGTACTTATGTAAATAAATGCAAATTTTTATTCTAATCTAATATTTTACTAAATTCTAGACAGGTATATGGAACAGTTCAAAGGACAGAATGACATAATCCTAATACATAGAACTTTAAATTCTAATGGACAGGCAAGCAGAGAATGGTGGAGGGTCCACTGGGAGCTGGTAATTTTGACATCAAGAGAGTCAAAGGGTGGGTTCTAAACCCATGAGATGGAGGGACAAGGCTGCAGGGAAGGCTCAGGAAGCATAACTTCCACAAAGACTCAGGATCCTAGATCATGCACCACTCCCCGCCCACCCCAAATCTGGGAAAACCCGGAGATGTCCCTGGGAGGTGTGGGGAGGCCTGGGGCTAACAGGGCCGGGTCCTTGGAGGAGGCACTAGCCCTCCCCCCACGGCGCCATCCCCCGGAAGATGGCCCTCTGCTCTCACAGTGAGACAAGACGCTTGGTCAGGAGTGAGCAGGAAATGGTCACCTCAGGCTGCGACACAAAGGCCTGCCGGGAGCCATGGCCCAAGAGCTAGGGGCGGCCTCAGGCTTGCTGGACCAGCAGGCGCCAGACGGGAGGAGAGCCACAGCCCCCGGAACACGTCTCAGCATCTCTTCGGTGCCAAGAAGGGAGCGACCTCACCAAGACACTCACCGTGACCTCGTACTTGACCTTGCTGCCCACGTCCCGCTCGGACCGCATCGCGCTCTCGCCCCGCACCAGGCCGGAGAAGAAGAGCTGCTGGGGAACGGCCGCCCTAGCGAGGAGGGGTCAAAACAGGGGCCGCAGAGCGCTGGGGCCTGACGGAGGGTCAGGAAGGTCCGGCCAGCGAGGCAGAGCCCAGGCCCGGGTCTGGGAGTGGCAGTGCCCACCCCTCCAGCGGAGGTGCCCACCCGGGCGGGGCTTACCCCGTGATGGACAGTGGCAGCTCGATGAAGACACGGGCACGGGCCAAGACTGGATGCAGCTCCTGCTCGCTGATGCTGGCGAGTGGCGGGGGCAGGTGTGGGCAGCGAGCCCAGGCACCACCCCAAGGGGTCATGGGCAGACAGCACAGCGCCTTCAAGGTGGACTTCTAGCCAATGCCCCCCACTATCACCCACCCTAGGCCCCCAGCCTTACGTGGCCAACAGCAGCTCCACCTCCAGCTCCGTGGTTTCAATGGTGATCCCCGAGGTGCTGAGGATGAGGTAGAAGGCGACCTGGACCGAGAGTGGAACGCGATGAGAATCTGGGAGGGGCAGGGGCTTGCGGGGGGCAGGGCTTAGACAGGGATAAGGGCGGCTGTGGCAACCTGGGCGCCTCTCTTCATGGGGTTCCCCAGCTCACACTCGACGTGGGAGGCATTCTCATCAGACAGGCACAGCGGCTTCTCCTGGAGTGGAGGAGGAAAGGAGAGGTCAGCTGGGGTTACCAAAGCCCCCAAGACCCCAGTGCCGAGAGTTAGCTCTTGGAAAGGTTGATGATGAGCTCGGGGCCCTGGAGGAGGAGACAGGGACCCAGGCCCTCAAGGAGGTGAGCGAGACAAACTTTCTCTCTACGTCGCTCTGTCTTAGTCTCAGAAGCCTTGAACTCTGAGTCGCTACGACAACAACCTGTTTGTTTTGTTTTGTTTAAAGAGAACTTTATTATGACAGTGAGTTTTGACCTGAAAATCATTCTGTGATGTGGAAGCGAAAGTGGCTCAAACGTGTCTGATTCTTTAAGACCCCTTGGACTGTAGCCTTCCAGGCTCCTCTGCCCATGGGATTCTCCAGGCAAGAATAATGGAGTGGGTTGCCATTTCCTTCTCTGACAACAATCTTTAAGTCTAACTTTCTTTAAGCCCAGAGCTAATGATTACACAACAAAACAGTGCATCTCGCTCCAGGGTCTGTTTTTCTTTAGGCTCTGTACTAACGATCAGATAACAACAGTTTACCTCCTCCAAGGACTTTTTTCTCTTTTTTAACAAGAACCTTCTGACTAATCTTATTACTTTAAGATGTGTGTTGTGGGGAAAAGCCTTGATTAGCTGAGGGAGGGGGCTAGTCTGTCCCATCCCCCTTCTGACGTCTGTGTCAGAAGCTTTCTCTGTCCTTTCTTGCTGTAATAAGACTTCTGCCACACAAAAGCTCTGAGTGACCAAGCCTGATCCCTGGTCCCGAAGCTAAATCTTCTTCAGAGATCACGAATCTGACATCGCTCGCTGTAAGCTATCACTGCCACCCTGCCCTCGGTGCTCACCACAGGGTCCAGGCCCCGGACTCCCGAGTAGTGCAGAGCGGCAGGGAGGGTGACCAGGAGCTGGGCTTCATGAGCATCATCCCCATCAGCCTGGGGCTGGGCTGGGTCCGAGGGTAGATTGGTGACCTTCAGCTCCAGGCCGATGACCGGCTGCCCACTCAGAGCAAACAAGGCTGTCATCCCGTCCGCATCCCTGCAGGACCAGATCCCAGTTGCTCTAAGACCTGAACACCTGCCCAGCCTCTCCGTCCCACCCCCTCCCGCAATGCATGGGATTTGCCTCCACCCTCGGAACCTCTCCCTCCACCTGGGCCTCCCTAACCTCCACACACACCGGTCCCAGCCTCAGACTGAAGAGTCAGGACTGAAGTCAGGGACTTCCCTCGTGGCCCAGCAGCTAAGACCCCAAGCTCCCAATGCAGGGGGCCTGAGCTTAATGCCTGGCCAGAGAGCCAGACCCCACTCGCTGCAACTGAGGTCCAGCACAGCCAAATAAATAAAAACTTAGGGGGCTTCCCTGGTGGCTCAGTGGTAAAGAATCCACTCACCAATGCCGGAGACATGGGTTCGATCCCTGATCTGGGAAGATCCCACATGCTGTAAAGCACCTAAGCGGGTGGGCCACAACTATTGAGCCTGTGCTCTAGAGCCCGGAAGCCTCAACTGCGGAAGCCTGCACGCCCTAGCGCCCATGACCTACAACAAGAGAAGCCTCCACGATGAGCAGCCTGCGCACCGCATCTAGAGAGCAGCCCCCGGCTCACCCCGACTAGAAACAGTCTGTGTGCAGCAATGACAACCCAGCGCAGTCAAAAATAGATAATGTGATTTAAAGAAAAAAAGCACTGAGTGGTTAGCACTTCAGTATATAAAATAAAATTTAAATACATTAAAAAAAAAGAAAGACTGGGAGTCAGGGAACCACCCTCCTGGTCCCTGGTCCACGGCTTACTGACCTTGGGCAGGCAACTAAACCTCTCTAGGCTTCCAAGTGGAACTGATAGTAATTCCTACCTCATGGGGTTGTGAAGACTGAACAGTGAGGTGTATGTGAACTATGTAATTTCAAAAATATGATGAAGGATTGTTCTTCCCTGCCAGGTGAGCTGCTATGGGCCCGTCACCACCCTCAACCTGCAAATTCCAAGCTGTCTGCGGGCCCTCCCCGCCTTCCACCCTCCCCTCTGCAGGTTCAGACCCCTCCAAGCCCTCCCTGGGGACTTCCTTGCATACTTTGAACTTTGGCCTTCCCACCCCACCTGCTCCCTCTCTCCCCCTCACATGGGCAGAGGCTGAAACTCCGTGTCACTGACGCGGGCGCAGAACTGGGCATGGACCAGCTGCAGATTGCTCTGGCAGATCTTGTCTTCACCACATCCTTGCTTCAGGAAGTGGATCTGGGGGAAGATGTGAAGAGGGGTCCTTCTCAGGGAATGAATGTGTCATCAAGGCACGTGGCAGGGTGGGGGACCAGAGGAGTAAACAACCTGGATTCAACTTGCAGATCTGCTGCTTGCTAGCTGTGTGATATTGAGCTGGTCCCTTAACCACTCGGAGCTGTGTCCTCATCAGTAAAATGATGGAAGTGATTACGGGGCCATGGGAGAGGCCAGCAGGCTAGTCCACAGCGAGGCCACATTTCCTCGGCCTTTCTTGTGTGTAACCAAGTCTCAGACTCAGAACATGAAAAGACGGGAAGAGCATCACTTTTGGACTGGCCATAAGAAGCAGGCACGGAGCTCCCCTGTCTTCCTCCAGCAGACCAGGTTAGAGATGACCTAAGGACCTTAGAGGCCACATTTGAACCAGCACCATGGGCGTCTGAAAGACTGCCTGACCCCCCTGACTGGGAACACATGATCATCTAGTCCATTTTACATCTGGGGTCCACCTGTCATAGCATCTTGAGATATGAGGAACAACTAGGGTAACACAGGAAAGAATTCTGCAGGCTAGGAATGAGTGTCACTGGCAAGGGACCCTGGTATCTATTCCTCCCATCTTTTCCTGGGCTCAACCAGAGCACATGCTCACCTCTGTCCGCTGGGTGCTGGGCTGGTGGGCATTGAGGATGGGGGCCACCGGGGGCAGCCCCTGACCAGGAGCCTGTCGTCGGAGCCGAGGGGTCTGGAGACCATAGGACAGGGTCACAACGATGGCCCGAAGCTTGTCTTTGACATTCTCCTGGGGAGGGAAAAGACAGACGTGGATGCAAGAACCACCTCCCAGGCCCCAGCTCCGCCCAAAGCCCCAGCCAGACCTAGGACAGATCCTGAAGCCTAGAAAGAGGCTCTGGGAGATGAAGGAGAGAGGTGGAGAACTAAGCTAGAGAAGGGAGAAGAGGCAGGACTCAGGGCTTTGAGGACCACGCAAGAAGATGGACTTGCCATCACCATCTCCAGGGAGAAGAGAACTTGACAGGAGACGCAAGAAGGCAGCAGGTAAGGAAGAGGTCAGCTCAAAAGGGAACCATCCCGAAAGTTGAGACTTTAGACTGAGGTGTGAGTGTGTTAGGGAAGAAGCTGAGAGGAATCCAAAAAAAGATGATGCAATGACAATGACCCTCAGAGCCCAAGGGGTCAGCATCCACCTGGAGCTGCAGCGTGGTGTCTCCACAGACTCTGTCATACTGGTGTTTCAGCCACACGGTGCCTGAGGACTGGTGCTTGGGGTCATCGGGGCCACGGCTCAGGAAGGTCACACGGGGCACCTGGCCCCGGAGCCTCCGGTCTGTGTCCCCATCTAACATGTAATCCAGGGCTGTGGCAGGTGGGAGAGGAGGAACCAGTGAGCTGGGGTGGGGGCGGCTCCAATGGGCCCTTCTCTGCACCCTGGAGTGACCCACCCTGAAACCCAATGCGGTGGGCGTGGAGGGGCCTCACTCACCCACAGTAGGGCTATAGCTGCTGGGCGATGCGATATAGCTGAAACAGACCCTCAGGTCCATGCTGCGGGGGCAAAGGTAAGGTTGGTAGGCCAAGGCCCCTCTCGCACCCTGCCCACTCCTGCCCCAGCCCCAGACTGGGCAGACAGGGGCGAACTAGACCCTGGAGGCGCCCCTCCGCCCTCCCCGCGGATCCCGCCTCACCAGACCAAGCGGCCACTCGCACAGTTGGGCTGCTCTAGGTCGATGGCTCGGGGAAGAATGGAGACCTCGTGGGAGACATGGAGGACGGGCCTGGCCCTGGAGAACGGGGAGTGCAGGGCGCAGGAGACGTGAGAACGTCAGGCTGGGAGAGGGGGAAGGCCGAGGACCTGGCTCTGCAGAGGGGCTCCGGCCGTGGGAGGGCGAGGGCGGCGGGGAGGGAGGGCCCACCTGAAGAGCACAGCAGAGTCGTCCAGGGAGCCCACGAGCAGGTCTGGGTAGCGGTTCCCGTCCACGTCCAGGCCGCCCGACAGGGAGTAGCCAAAGCTCTTCATGCCCACGGCCTCGCCCTCCAGCACCTGCGGGACCAGACCGTCGGCGCCCCAGCCATCATCCCCACCCTCTGCGCCGGGCCCCATTCCCTCACCCCAACCCCTCCGCTCACCTGGGAAGGCTTGGGGACAACCCCCAGACTGCTCCCATGGTAGATAAAGACCTTCCCGTCCCCATCGAAGGGAGCCCCCACAGCAAGATCTGCAGGCGTGGGAAAGCAGTCAGACCTGAGGAAGGCTGGGGAGGCGCGAGGTCCAGGCCCCAGCCGTCCCGCAGGCACTCAGCTGCGGCCCCGCTCCTATTTCACTGAGAGGCTGCTGAGCCCCGGACACCTTGCATGGGCCATCGTTACCCTCTCAGCCACTCTCGGCAGGCGTCGCCAGCTCAGAGGGCTGTTTGCCCAGGGCCACAGGCTGCAAGTAGTAAAGCCCAGGCACGAGCCCGGGTCACTCCTCTCCCTGAGTCCTCAGAGGACCTCGCCCTTGACCTCGGAGGCCTCTCCCCGCCTACCTCCCTGGCCCCTCTCTCCGTGCCCCCAGCCTTTCCCATTCCCAGTCACACCTGGGAAGCCGTCTTGATTGAGGTCCCCCAGGACTGCCAGGCTGATCCCGAACATGGAGTCAGGGGAGCCGCAGAGCCGGAGAGGGGCGACCCCGGCCCAGTGACCCCCCTCGTTCATGTACACATACACAGCACCCCCCAGTTCTTCCTGGCGCTCGAAGAAGTAGGGGGCACCCACGACCAGGTCTGTCCAGCTATGGAGACAGGGAGGCAGGAGGTGGGTGAAGAGGAGAGGCCAGAGGCCCCTCGCAGCCCCAGCCTGCCCAGCTGCGCCCGCCTCCCTCCCTCTCACCCATCATTGTTGAGATCAGCCACGGCCAGCGAATAGCCAAAGCCAGAGGTCAGGCGCTCCCCGGACAGCATCACTTCCGGCACCAGGCGGCTGGCGCTGTCTTTGCGTAGAATGACCACGGCACCCTTGTGGTTGGCACGGGGGGCCCCTGCCACGAAGCTCAGCTCCTCAGCTCGCAGCAGCCCCTTCCCAGAGTCGATGGAGAAACCTGGATGGAGGCGACTCACTGCTGAGTTCTCCCCCACCAGACTCCCAGCCAGAGTGGGTCTAAGTTCCCCCACGCTGCCCCACCCCGCAGGTTAGAGCCTGAAGGTGGAGATGCCCCCTGAGGCAGCACCGTCACAGCTGGACCGCTCCTCTGCCCCTCCAGACACCCGGGGGTCCTCTCATCTGGAGCCTGCAGCTGGGCATGAGAAGTGGGATCGGGTAGCCTTGGGGACTGGAGAGGAAGGAGGAAGGCGATGCCTGGGAGGCCCAGGCGGCTGGGCAGCAGCAGGAGCTGGGCCAGGGTGCCCCCCATAGGGTTCCCCAAAGCTGCTCTCCCCTCGGCATGCCCAGGAGCCCCCATCCCTCCCACGCACACCTCTCCTGGCAGGGAGAGGAAGTGTCCACATGGACAGAGATGAGGGAGAAATGGGGAAGAGCTGGCGTCACCAAACATCACCCAGGCAGAACAATGTGGATGAGACAAGAAGAGGGACTTACCAGCACAGCTCGGCCTCTCTCCACACATGCCCGCCACCCACCCCTCCGAGTTCCAGCCTCCTTCCTTCCCACTACAGCCTCAGCCCGCCTGGATCTTCCTCCAGGGAGACCCCTGTTTACAGCCCTCCAGGCTACTACCCCTGGGGCCTCTTCACCTTGGGCCTGGCCCCCTCGCTCAGCTCTCCTCTGCAGTTTGGGCCCGACGGGTATTTCTCTAGGGAGGTGCTGGCGGGCGGGGCAGGAGAGGCAGAGAGGCCAGGCCAAGCCCCCAGGGCCCAGGGGGACGCGGAGGGGCGCTTACAGACCTAAGTAACTATTCAGGGCCAAGTCGCCGGCCGGTCCCGGGAGCCGGTCAGCAGGGTCCAGAGTTTTATACACCAGCTGGTCAGGGTCTGAGCTATCAACGTTGGTCACAAAGAGCAGCCCTGCGGGGGCGGGCAGGCAAACACGAGGGCGGGGACATCCAGAGCACAGGCCACAGAGTGCGGAGACAGAGACAGGAGGATGGGCGCGGGGGGGTGAGAGAGAGGAGCAGAGGGTTAGAGCGGCTCCGGGCCGGGGCGGGCTCCCTACCAAGGTAGCTGTTGGCAGGGACCGGGATGAGGCGGGGGTCCTGCTCCTTCTCCCCCCCCGCCTCGTAGGGCCCGTCGTCCAGGTGCGCCAGGTCCGCCGAGCCCTGCACACAGAGCTCCACCCTGGCCGTGCCTGCAAGGACAGACCGGTCAGTGCCCGGGTGGGGTCTGGAGACCACCCAGGGAAGCCCCTCCTCTCCTCTCCAGTCCCATCCCCACCCCCTTCCCAGTCCAAGCTGCCTGGGGTCTCTCTCTACCCTGGGATGTGGCATCACACTCACCACGTGTCAGCCCGGCCAGCGGCAGCGTGCAGAGATGGGAATGGGAGTGATGAGGTGTGGGCTGGTGTGCTGGAGCATGCGGGCCCCGGCTGGGCAGGTGGGGGCTCATGCCAGCATGTTGCAGAACGCTCGGCCATGCGGAGGACAGGAGATGGATGGCCCCAGTCGTGTGCGTGCCGGCGAGACGCGGTGGGAGGCGTGGCGGGGCCCCGGGGCTCCGAGCCGGTGAACTCGCAGGCATGCTTGGCCTCATGCTGCCCCCAACCCCCTCTCTGAGGTGCTGGGACATGTTGGTTCCCTTCTCCCCTCTCCAGGCAGTGACTCACCCTTCCAGTTATAGGTTCCTGGGGCCCCAAAGAGGAGATAGTGGTTGTCGGGGGAGAAGGCAGCCGCCGTGCCCTGCTGGCAGAAGCCGAACTGTTCGTGGCCCTGGGGACGTCCCTCACAGAACTTCCACTCCCCACCATCCAGCTCGTCTCGGATGGCCAGGTCCTGGCTTAGCACAAAGCAGCGGCCAATCACGTCCCTCGTCTCCAGGATCTGGTCTACACGCTGCCGCGACTCGTATCGGTGCGCACAGGTCTGCGGGAGGACAGCAGAAGGGGTCACTCCACCATGAGGGCCAGAGCCACGCTGCCCATGTGCAGGAATCTGGCATATGCAGCGTCGAGTGCATATGCACAGGCATGCATGCACGCACACACACGCGCCTGTGCCAGCATCACCTGGGCGCCACCTCCCAGCCCAGCATTAGCCAGGTATATAGAATACATAAGCCCCATCCCTGTCTTCTGTGCACTCACTTCTTCGCCCTGGCAGCAAGAAGTCCTTGCTGCACATTCTCCCCTGGCACCCACAGCATGACCCGGCCACAGAACTCATGCCTCCTTGATCCCGCCAGATGGGACTGTCCACAGCATGCCCAGCTCGGTCTTGTTCCTGAGAGCCACCACCTCGTCTGCAAACAATTCCTTCCCTCTCCACTCTCCACGTATTGCTTATTCTGGAAATCCAGACCCAAATCACCCCCAACTGCAGTAGTCTTCTCACTCCGCTCCTCATTTGAGCTGGTATAGACTGGGGACCACACCACTCACCTAGCCTTAACCATATTCTGCTCCAAAAGGACTTGTATTATCATGTCTGTGCATGTCAGTGATGAGAACCTCTATAACTATGCAGGAGGCTCTCTGAGGCATGGACCATACTTTTCCCTGTGTTTACATGTCCTCTCTCAGTTCAATGCCTGATACTTTAAAGGTTCTCAGTAGGTTTAACACATGGATGGGTGGATGAACTGTTAGATACTTTTAAGTTTATAAGGACGGAACCATGCCTCACACCTGTTTACATCTCTCAGAAGTCCTCGGAAGCAGACAATCATATCATACTGCCAACCTGAGTTCTGTAAGCACATCTGTGTGTATGCACACACCATACATACACACAAACACGCACTCAACACCCTTGCAAAGCGTCACAAGAAGTGGTACCCGTCACCATGATATTACTGTTACAGAGTCAAACTGTTTTTCCCTCTTTTAAAAAACAAAATTTCCTGCTCTTTTTCTATAAAAATGGTAAATATCAAAAGTCAAAAAAAAGATATGGTACTCACAACAATCTTGCCCCCAGGCCCCTGACTCCGAACGCTGACTCCCAGCCACTGGTTCTCCTTGCTCTCCTTCTGCACATCAGCTGGTGGCAGGACATGAGGAATTAGGGGAGGAAAGAGGAGGCTGAGCCCTCCCCTCCCCTGCTCACGTGTCCCCCCACCCAGCTGCACAGAGCCCTCACCTCCGCGGTCGATGTCCACTCTGTAGCAGTCAGCCTCTTCCAGGCTCAGGGGGCAAGCAAAGAGACCCCCAGTGCGATTTGCCTGCTGCCCTGGCAGGGCCAAAGCCTGGGGTGCGCCCACCAGCAGCCTGCATGATGGAGGAGGGACAGGAACTAGTGGCCAGCGCCCCTCCTCCCGGAGCCGCCCAGGCCCGGCTCCGCTGTGCCAGACGGAGTGTTGAAGGACTAAGGCAAAGGACCTAAAGTCAGCTTTCCCGCGTCCTGGCACGGGCAAATTCATACACTTGGCCACGCAATCATCACATTACATATGCACATACTCTCTGGGTGAGGGGCCGCATAATACCAGATACACACACACACATTGGCCACCTGAGCAGCCTGGCCCACAGTGCCGCTTTGAAAGAACCGCCTGTTCCCAGCACCTGCTCCTGACCAAGACTTCCTACCCGCCAACCCCACTCCCTGGCTCCACCTCCGAGCTCTGCCCTCTTCCCCATCCCCAGTTCAGTTGAAATCTTCCCAGAAATGCCAAGAATGCTCGGAGCAAAAGTAACAGCACCACAAGGTAGCCCAGAGACCAGCTTCCAGGGCCAAGCCAGAGACTAGACGTGGGTCCCACTCCCTCACTCCTTACAGGGGATCCATCAAAAACCCACCACCTAGCAACCCTGCCAGCCCAAGATTCTGTCAGTCACTTGAACTGGCACAGAGGTGGAGGCCAGTTTCTCATTTTGTCTCCAATCCCAGCCCTGTGCGCCCCCTACATCCTGAATCCCCTTTCATCCTTCCTGCGGCTCCCCATGCCCACGATTTTGCCCCCTCCTCCCCACCCTGGCCGCCCAGCCTTCTCTCCTACCTCCCCCTCAGACTCTTTCCCAGCTACAAAGTTCTTGGCAGGACAATTTTCCATGATCACAGCCAAGGCTTCTTCCCCAGGGAGGACTATGCTGGGAATGGAGGCTGCCTGGGTCCCCCGGGAGGCAGACCCTCAGGCCAGGAGTGAAGGAGAGGCAAGGTTTTGGGCACCCAGCTGGCTACAAGGATCCTCTCTGCACAGAAGGAAACTCAAAAGTGTCAGCAAGATGAATCTCGAGGCCTCCCTCCCCCACTCGTTTCCTCCACCTCCCCGGCTTGGGCACGGGTGGTGTGGCAGATAGGCATCCGTGGGGCACCGTGCCAGTTCTGATGGGCACAGGGCCACTCTCCCTTCCCACGACTCCGCCTCATCTCCGAGCAGCTGTCATCCCGCGTCAGAGCCAATGTCATGAGAGGGGGGTGGGGAGTAGACGGGGAGACAGCATACACCGGGCATATGCTAACAACTACTTATTGAGAATCTGTCATCTGAAGAGGAGGGCATGGCAACCCACTCCAGTATTCTTGCCTGGAGAATCCCATGGACAGAGGAGCGTGACGGGCTACAGTCCACGGGGTCACAAGAGTCGGACACGAACGAAATGACTTAGCACAGCACACACATCACCTGCCAAGCCCTATGTCAGGCACTGGTGAGACAAGGACGTGATATTTACTCACCACCTAGTATGAATCAGGTCCTAGGCTAGATGCCAGGGATGTGAGGAACTCAGCTCTATGACCCTACTAGGTGCCAGGCACCGGGCTAGGCATGTTACATGCATTATCTCACTAAATCTTCACGACAGTCCAATGGAAGGATTCTTCACTTGTCTTTCAGATGAGAAGACTCACTCAGAGACATTGATAGCACAATGGAATTCAAGTCCACATGTGCTTAATTCCAATATCCATGCCTTTCCCACCCAATGACTATGACTGACCACCTCAGAAAAGGAAGAGGGAGATGGGGAGAGGAGGGTACCCCAAGCAGAAAAAAAACTAGGTGGCCTGGCTAACCTCCAGACAAGTCCATGGTGCCCCCACCTGTAAACACAGAGATGGTGAGCCCTTGGAGGACCCCGGCTGCTTCATTCATCTTTGCATTTGCCCCATAGGAGGCATCACGATGTCTTTGCTGGACCCACATGTCATGCAGACTCACAGAGACACACAGAGTCTCAGCTGGTCGGCGCAGAACTAAGTACCAAGAGAGGCTAACAGTCCATGTTCAAAGCTCACATCTCCCCTGGAGGTCACAAGTAGGGAGCTGAAAGAAGAGGAGGGGTCCATACGGAAAAAAGAAGCTGAGTGCATAGCTATGCCCAGCCCCTCTCTTGATGGAGAACAGACCAGGCCATCCTGCCTGGAACAAGATTTCCCACACACAGCCTCTCCATTCCCTCCACCTCCGCCCCAGCCACACACTCTTTCTTGGCTTCATCCCACGATCCCCAGCCATCCCAGACCTCTGGACAAATAGTAGCCACAGATGCAGCCTCTGTAGAGAGAAAGGCAGCTAGGAGCAAGGGACTGTTTGGGAGGCTGGCTAAGTTGAGGCAAAGGAGTAGCCCACTACCTCTGCACCTCTTAATTTCCCATTCACTCCAGGCTCTGACCCAAGTCCAGCCCTCTCTGACTCTCAATCTGGGTGGCCCTCTGGGGAGGGTGCTTGGCCTGGAAGGTTGGCTCAGCCCTGGGGGTGCTCCGGCCAAGCCTTTGTATCCAGCCTCGCTGTAAGGCACAAAGCTATGCTCCAGCCAGCCCTGTGGATCACCATATAAGAAAAAAGGTACCGACACTTTCATACCACCCACACTGGGCCTTGCGCTATGCTCAGAATTTTACATATGTTAACAAACCTTTCAATATCCACAATTACTCTATCTGGTGGCTTCCCAGATGGCGTTAGTGATAAAGAATCTGTCTGCCAACGCAGGAGATGCAAGAGACATGGGTTCGATGCCTGGGTCAGGAAGATTCCCCTGGAGGAGGAAATGGCAACCCACTCCAGTATCCTTGCCCGAGAAATCTCATGGACAGAGAATCTGGTGAGCTACAGTCCATGGGGCCGCAAAGAGTCGGACGTGACGGAGCGACTCAGCACACACACACGCATTTGGTAGGACCGCTGATGGTGTTAGAGTGGATGGAAACAAATGAGGCTGAAACCACAGAAGGCTGAACTTCAAAGTCTCATCCCTGGGCCAGACTGAAAGACATCCAAACTGGTGAGGTTTTTCAATCAGAGAGTGGTGGGGACAATAATCTGCAAGCCCAAAGCCAGGGACTTAGCCAGGGTATCCCACCCCTCACGCGCCACCAGACAGCAGAGCATCCCCTGCTGGAGCAAGAGCAGGGTGGGGGGTGAGCAGCCCCTCTGGGGACTCCCCCAGCTTGGCTCTGGGAGAGAGTCAGGGGCCACCTTCAGAGACAAGGGGGAAACGACAAGAGACCAAGCCATTAAAAATAACCTAGAATTTGCCTGGAAATAGCTCAGAGACTTCAGCATGTCCTAAAAAGGCCTCCAGCTCTGGAACTCTGGCAGATGGGGGAGGGGGGAGGAAGGGAGACAGAAATGATGGAGTAAGAGGTTAGTAGATTGAAGACAAGATGAAGTCAGTAGCTTTCCATTGCTCCCAAAGTGTGGGGGATCTCTGACCCTGCTCCCTGACGACAGAGATAATGGAAAAAGAAGATCAGAGCTAGCCCCTAGTCCCTGAGCCAGGGAAGAGAAATGAGCTCTCGTCCCTTCCCTCTGCCCCTAGGCCAATAGCAGAGGGGAGGAGATGGTCCCAGTGGACGGCACTGATCCCAGTAATGGACACTGACTGTGGCTCAGGCGGTAGCCGAGGAGAGAAAAGTCCCCTGGCAGGAAGCGGTGGGCCGCTTTCTCTTTCCTGCGTGTCTTTTTAAAATCGCACACAGAGATGGGGCCAATAGTACAGGAACCGTGACAGTCACAGTCCCCACACACGAGTCTATCTTTCTCCCACGGGCCCTGAACTGATTAGAAAATAACCAGGATTGTCCTCTGCCCCTCACCCCTCCCTGTCCGCCCCTACTGCTGCGATTCTTGGAGCTGGAGATTTCCTGAGGAGGAGGAGGGGGAACAGCCTGGCCAGCACCCCCTCTAGATCTCTCACTGCTGCTGCTGCTGCTGATACAACTCTGGGGGCTCTGATTTCTGCCACCCTGTTTCTGCAAACTACCTAGTGCAGAGTGCCACATCCTCCCAGGTGCCCGCCCGGCCTCCCTGTAGTCAAGCCACAGAAGCTCAGGTCTCTCCTGGCTTCCCAGAGTCCTGCTGCTTGCGTCCCCCTCCCATGGCAATGCCCGGGCAGGAAGTTATTTCTGGAGCCTACCTTCCGTCCCTCCCGTGGTACCCTCAGTCTCTCTGCCCTCTCCTTCACCTGTCCTAAGCAGAGGCGAACTGCTCCCTCCCTAAGGGGGTTCAGCCTCCTAAAGAAGGAGAGGAGCCACAGGCCCTGCGACTGGAACAAGGATGCAAGTTGCGGGTGAAAAGCGACAGGGGATAGCTCCCAGCCAAGACTCTTGCTCTCCAACTCATCCCCAAAGCGAGATCGCCTGGGTCTCAGATCCAAGGCAGACAAGGCTTCAGGCTGGGGCGTGGGGTATCTGGGGGCAGCCTGAGTCTTGATACGGTTGGAAGATTGAGAGATGGGGCGGAAGAGCGGGGTGGGCATCTGTGGCTCGGGCGCTGGGATTCTGGGCGGGGGCGGTGACTCACCAGCTCTGGGGTCGGGGCTGCAACTGCCGGTGCAGGGCCACCGAGAAGCCAAAGAGGCTCCCCGGCTCGCCCTCCTTGCGGAGGGCGCCCATCACGTCCAGATTGAAGGCGGCAGCCCTGGGGAAGAGCAGTCCGGCGAGCAGGGAGCCAAAAAGGTAACAAATCCCAGGGGTCCCCCAAGGATCGCGGCCCGGAGTTCCCGCCATGGGGCAAGCCCCTGCTCGCGCTCCCGGCGAGGGCAAGGAAATACGCTGGCACCCTGAATCTCAGATCTCCCGAGGAGGGTCTCTGGTCTCCGAGCCTCGCTGGCCCTTCAGGGGGCCCTCCCAGTCTTCCACCTCGCTGCCCTCTACCCCTCTCCCGCCGCCCCAGCACCGGCCAGGACGACGGCAGCGGCCGCAGCCTAGTCTCGCCTGCTCCCGCCTCCGCTCCCGCGGGCGCCGCCCCAGCCCCGCCCTCGCCCCACCCCCCGGCCCGCGGCAGGTGGAGGCCGCTGGGAGTCGCGGAGGGATGCCCAGGAGGGCGGCCCCGGGTAGGAACAGGCCTTGCTTCCCGCGTACCCCCAGCTCCACCTTAGCGCCGGCGCCGCCCCCGCCGGGGCTCTCCCCTTCCCCCCTAACTCCTGCCCTAGCCAGCGAGTGATAGAGGCGGCGCCTGGGAATGGGGTAGGAGAATTACGGATAGAAAGGGGGCGAAAAGAGAAGGGGCCAGGGGGATGAGCCAGAGAGTAGAAGTGGATGAGGCTAAAAGACAGTCTGGAAAGAGAGAGACACAGAGAGAAAGAGATGCAGATGAGTCCGGTGTGGTCCCTTAATGCTCCCTTCTTTCCCCAAGGACACAGAACACCTCTCCTGCTGCCTGAATCAAGCCAATATTCCCACCACATCCCATCCCATCCCATCCCTCCGAGCCCAACAGTGGCAAAGGCTCTGCTAGACATACATCGTCAGCGTTCGGGGAAATAAGGTAAAGACGGGCAAGAAGAAAGGAAAACTCAGCAGGCCTGGGGGAGGGGAGCGAAGGAGGCCGGTAAAAAGCGAACGGAGCTGCAGAAAGAAGGGTAAGAGTTTGATCAACAAGGAAGGCATGGAGAAAACAGGGGGGAACGAGGTGGCAGAAGAAGAGGACAGTGAGCTGGGGGGAAGGATCCGCTGTCAGAGAAGGCCCAGATGAGCGAGATTGGACCCAAGAGGCAAAGGGATGGGAACGATGTCTCCACCCTCCAGATCCTTCCCAGAACTGTACATTTCCTACCCTCCGAAGAGGAAGGGGCTGGAGGGGCAGCGTCCTGGACTGGCCCTCCAGGATCGAGGTGGGGCTTCCCAGGGATGTCCACAAGGACTCACAAGCCGTGCCTCTGTCTCTCCCTTCCCCCCAGGCTGAGACAAAGGCAAGGGGGGGGGGAACATTTTCCAGCTCTGCTATTTATAACTCCAATCCAGAAATGGGGCCAAGAAGAGAGATAGGAAATAATTTGGCACAACTAGAACGTCACTGACTCCCACCTCCCCTCCCTAGGTCTCTCTCACGGGGTGCTGGTCTTGGGTACATCCATATGTCCATCTTTCTCTCCTCCCTCTCTCACGCTCTGGTTTTGTCTCATCCGAAACTCTATCTTTACCCTTCTTGTCTCTGTCCATTGGAATCCTACTAGATTGTTTCTCAGTGTCTCTAATGTTTCCTCTGCCCCTTCAAACACTGTCATATTCTCAAGATTCTCTCTTCTCCCTCTTTGTCTTAAAAGCTCCAACACATGTTCTCCCTAATTCCTCTTCCTAAGTGTCCATTTTCTCTCTTACTTCTTTTTCCAGGATTATACTTTAAAAAAAATTAATGTTTACTAGTCTGCTGCCCAGTGGGAGTCCTTGCCCTGGGTGAGTTACCAAACATCTGAAAGTTTGTGCCTCCATTTTGGCAACACTTCACTTGTGTCTGTCCCCCCAGGGAAGTAGCACACCTCGAAACAGGTGCTGTCCAGGTAACACAGCAGACTGGCCCTGAGAGCCTCCTTTCATCATCCCCCAGACATGCCCTCTGCACCCCTTTTCTATCTCAGAGCCCTGTCATTGGAGAAGAGCTGATGTGAGAATGCAAAGAAGTAAAATCAGGATGGAACCCAGACTCCTGACTCTCAGCCCAAATATCATCCAACTGGGGTCAAAATGCCTTTAGAGGGGCGGGGGTGGGGGGAAGGAGAGGGTGGGATATAGAGAGAGTAACAGGGAAACTTACATTACCATATGCAAAATAGATAGCCAGTGGGAGTTTGTTGTATGACTGAGGGAACTCAAACCAGGGCTCTGTAACAACCTAGAGGGTGGGAGGGAGGATCAGAGGAAGCAGACATAGGTATACCTACGGCTGATTCAGGCTGATGTTTGGCAGAAACCAACACAAGTCTGTAAAGCATTTATCCTTCAATTAAAAATAAATTGATTAAAAAAATAATAAATTGATTAAAAATAAATAGAAGTTTTTTAAATGCCTTTAGAGCCCCAAATGCCTCCCTGTGTCCACCTGCAGCCCCCGCCTCCCTCCATCTCTAGTCCGCTGATTCCTGCTAAATCCAAGGTTGGGATCAGATGCCAAGAATCTGCTTCTGACCTCCTCTGCCCAAATATTTGAGAAGTCACCTCACCCGCCACAGGAGGAAGGAGAAGGAAAGAAAAGAGAGAGAGAGGCCACCCAAAATTAGCCTGGCTATAAATAGTGGGGCAAGGGAGGGCGGGGAACATGCAAGAGTCCCAGACCAGCCTAGTAAATTTAGACGTGTAGATTTTCCCTACAGGAGAAATGAGGCCAGATTTGGAGTGGAGAGCAGCATTGCAGATTGAGGAGGGAATGAAGAAGCTGGAGGAATCCAGAGAACAGAAGAAGCTTAATATTCAAATAAATAATCTGCCAGAGAACCTTTGTATTTTAATTCGGAGTTCAGGAATTCATTAAATTAAAACTAATGCTGATGCTGTATGATTCCACTCACATGACATTCTCAAAACGAAAAACTGTGGAGATGAAGAACAGACTGGTGGTTGCCAGGGGACAGGGATGGGGACGTGGAGGTGTGAGTATGAAAGGGCAGCACAGGAAGTTCCTTCATGGCGACGGAGAGCTCTGTCACTTGATTTTGGTGGTGGCTGTTGAATCCATCTGTGGGATAAAATTACGTAGAATTATAAATGAATGCATGTTAAAAAAAAACTGGGGAAAATTGAATAGGCTTATAGCCTAGTTAACTGTATAATATCTATGTCAGAGTCTTGGTTTGGATATTGTGCTACAGTTATATAAGGTGTCACCTCATGGAAGCTGGGTGAAGGATACACAGGATTTCACATACTATTTTTTGCAGTTTCCTCTGAGTCTGCAACTATTTCAAAATAATTTCAAAACACTTTTAAAAATTTATAAATGTCCAGACCCAGCAAAGACTCTTGTCCTTTTCTGCCAGCCCCTCCCCCCTCTAAGAGCCCTCTTCCCCTCCATCTGGGCTCCCTATTTTTCAGTTCCCCCAGACCACACACTGCCCAGCTGCCCTCTCTAGATGAGCAGCAGACACTTCCAGAACACACACTGAAGGGTTAACATCTCCCTCCACCTCATCTGGCAACAAAGCCTTGGACCATATGTCCCGGGGTCAGCCTCTTCCTCCACAGCATAGACAACAAGAGGACTTTCTCACCCCACCCACCTCTGCAGCACTGGAATCCTTCTGCTGGCCTCTGAATTCCGCCTGTAGCCGAAGTTCAAACTATGGGAGTGGCTGGGAGAGAAAGGCTATGCATGTGATTGAGGGCAGTCAGTGGGGAAATGCCTTGACCGCTCTGGTCTTTGAGGATCCCAGGGAAACCCCTTGTGTCTTGGGGAGAAGGATGACTGGGAGATCACTTCCCACGGTGAGCCATTTAAACCGGGCCCCTTTTCTCTGAGCCCTGGCCCCAGGCCAACATTTGGAGCCCAGCCACACCACCAACGGCCCCCTCTTGAAGCCCAGCCAGATTTCCCAGTATGAGAAGCCTTCTCCACTCACACCATGGCCTGCCTCAGTCCTCACCCAATCCCTAACAACTCAGCAGCTTCCGGCCCTAAGGCTTGGCCCAGCCAGCCAGCCAGAAGCTTGCTAATTAGAGCGAACTCTGCAAGAGAGTCTTCAGAAGAACAGAGGAATGAGTGGGCAAAAGGAGTGTGGGGGCACATTCACTGATTCTAAGAGGAAAAATAATCTGGGTGGGAAAGTGTAAGTAGAGGTGGTCAGAAAGAGATTTCAGATTTAAAGAGTCATTTTCCTACTGTGCATGCAGCCTGTGTCCATCTCTACCAAAGGCAGGTGGAGCTGAGTTTCAACAACAGTAGACACTGGGGTTAGACAGCGAGCCACAGGGGCCCAGAAAAAGAGTGGGTGGAGGAAGACCCTGGAGAGACCAGCTGGAGTCCCCAGATACAGGTACCCATGTCCCCCGCTCAGCTCTCGGGCAAAGGAGCAACCAGTGTGTGGGAAAGGAGGGTGGGGCTGATGTCCGCAGAGCCCTGGCAGTCTCTATACCGATTGTGAAAATGCCAGGCAGTTGTGCCAAGGGGGTGAGGGTAACACAGGATGGGCCTGGCACTCACCATGAGTCATCCTAATCTTAAATTGCAGACGCACCACTGAAACCCCCAACGGGCCTGCCCGCTGTTTCACGGGTCCACTTGTCACCATTCTCTGCCACCCCTTCCAACCTCTGCTTTTCTCTCCCAGCGTTGGGAGTGAGGCACCGGGCACCTTCCAGTCTGCCTCCAACTTGCTTGCTCACTGCAGTTGGAAGCGAAAGCCAGAAGCGGGGGAGGACGGGCAAGGCTGCCCTGCAATGCTCTCATTCTGCCCGCTTCTATTGATCGGCTCCTCTCTGGAGTGGAGCCTCTTCCCAAACATCCCTCCCCTGCTGGGATTCCCTTCAACTGATGCTCCACAGGCATAGAGAGGCATAGTGACAAGAGAGAGCTGTCCCCCGCAGTGCTCTGGGCCTCCCCCTGCTGGGGTCTCTTCCGTGGTTTCTGCAGTATAGTACAGTGGTCACACTCAAGCTCTGGTATCAGATAACCCGGCTCTGTGTCCTAGCTCGACTGCCTATGAGCTCTATCACTGCACTGCTCTGAACCACAGATTCTTCATCTGCACATTATTACACTTCACATGACTATTCTCAGAATTAAATGAAATAATACATGTAGAGTGATCCACACATGGTATTAAGTACTCAGGAGATGTTGTTAAAGAAGTACCCATATAATAAGCACAGACACACAAACACAATATCCAACACTTTTTTTTAATAGTTATTTGGCTGCATCGGGTTTTAGTTGTGGCATGAGGGATCTAGTTCCCCAACCAGGGATTGAACCCAGGGACCCCTGAATTGGGAGCGTGGAGTCTTAGCCACTGGACCACCAGGGAAGTCCTCGTGCCTAACACTTTTTGTTCAGTTTTTATTTTGGCACTTAATGTTCTGCTTTCTGCTGCCACTTAACCATTTCACTCACTAATCCTTTGATAGCTGGGCAACCCCCTGGGATTTAAGATGCTGTTCTGCAAAGAGTTGAATGAACTGATCAGTAATCTTCACCTCTGACTCAGAAATTCAAGAATGTTCTATTCTAAATCAATCAGCATCCATTTCTCCTCCCCCTGCAAGTACATATAATGAAGTCAGTTTTCAACCACGTAACTGAAGTGAGAGAATACCAAAGTTTTGCAGACAGCTTTAGATGGTTTAGTGCAGTGGTTCCCAACCCTGGGGGCACCCTATAATCACCTGAACCACTTTTTAAAAAATACTTGTACCAGGCCTCCATGCTCAGAGATTGATCACGAACCAAGGCATATTTTTTTTAAAATTTCCCCAACTGAGTCTAATAGTTTAGCTAAGGCTGAGAACCACTGATTTAATCCAATCTTCTAATTTTACTAAGGAGAAAACCAACATCCAGAATGGATACGCAACTTGCCCAAAGCCACCCAGCATGTCGGTGCACGGCACACCAAGAAAGAATGCTGTAACAGCAAGCACATGTTGGTGATGTTTATAATTTTTCCTTGTTGGGGTTAATCCCAGAAACACTTCTTTAGTTCAGAGAGGTGTTATATAATTTACCTTCTACTTTGGCAGCAGCACTTGTTCTGCTGGTAAGACTGAAATAAATGGGTTCGCATTCCCTGACCACAAAAGGACAGAGATGGAATGGCACATTGACCACACATAGCCAGCCAAATTAGCAAAGCTCCCTAGGAGGCCGCTGGAAATGCCTAAAATGCTGAGGGACTCTGGCGGGGTGGCGAGGAGAGAGAGGACAGCGTTCCCCCTCTAGAGGGAGGAGCTGAGGACTCACTGAGAACCGGCCAGAGCTGCCAGGAGGAAAAGGCCAGAGAAGGAAAAGAATTTCAATGAGCCCTGGGAACCTCTGCTCCCGCAACAAACGAACCACGATAGACAGCCTGGCAACAACAACCCTCCCAGGATCCTGGGATCCAGAGGAGATTAAAAACCGTTCTGCAATCTGAGTACTAAAGAAAACGTCTTCCCACACTGACCAAAGTGAGTTCCCAATAAAGACAAGAGCTCACCTGCCCCGACTATCACCTCCCTTCCCAGCCAAGATCCTGACCAGCGACCACCCCAGGTCTCAAGAGGAGGGCGGTTCCGGGCCTCACGTGACATTGCGGCCACGTGACCCCGGCCCCGCGGGAGGCAAGCGGTGAGCCCAGTTCCGCGCGTCGGAGGCGGGCCGGGCACGCCCTGCCCCCAGCGCGCCGCGACCATGCTGTCCCGCCTGCTGAGAGAACACCAGGCCAAGCAGAGTGAACGCAAAGAGCTGCAGGGTGAGCCGCATGCCCAGCCCGCCGTTTTCTCTCCCTCCGGGGCCTCGCCTCAGCCCGGAGCCTGGTTCTCGAGTAACGGCCCGGATCCGGGGAAGGGCGCGGGTTGGGGGGAGGAAATGACAGGAGCTTTGGTGGGGGGCAGTTCCGTCCCCTGCCGAAGGCCCCGGTCCCTTCAGCAGCATTAGCGACCCCCTAGGCAACGCCCCCAGCGCCCTGTCCGCAGTATCCCAGCCCCGCCCCCTGCCCACGGAACGCTGCGCCGATTGGTCCAGGGAGCCGCTCGTCCCGGAAGTGGGGCGGAAACCTCCCGGAGAGAGGGAGGGTGTTGAGGACCCGACAGGACGGGGATTCCCGGAGGCCTGAAACTGCGGAAATGGGGATGGGGCCGATGTGTCCTGAATCTAGGCTGGGAACCCCCGACTTACCAATCTTTAGGCCAGACCAGTGGGGGAAATGTGCCCGAGAGTCTGGAGTCGTGGTCGCTGCCAAGGACTCGGCGTCCCTGGGCGAATCGCTTCCCTTCTCAGGCCACCAGTTTCCTCACCTCGAAAGTGAGAGGGCTTGCTTTATGTTTTGCAAGGCCCTGTTAGCTCTGGCACTCTGGAATGACTTCAGCTGTTCCCATAGCTAGCAGAATAGTAATGAATGGGCGGGGAACCTTAAGCATCACTCCTCAAAAAACCAAGTCTCCTGTCTAATCCCTTTCCCCCCTCCACCCAGAGAAGAGAAGGCGGGAGGCCATCACTGCAGCGACCTGCCTGACAGAAGCTTTGGTCGATCACCTCAATGTGGGGTATGAACCTCTTCCCATCAACAGGAACACCCCTCCACCCAAGTTTAGGCACTGGCCTAGCCCTCAGGCTGCTCCTGAGGGGATGAGCTGTTCCTCTCATTCCCCTACCGTCCCCCACCCAGCTTAACTTCTATGGAGAGAGTCTTGAGTCAGCTCTGACCCTTAACATTGGGCAGGGGGAGCAGCTGTGGCCGGTGGAGAAGCAGCCAGATTTCCCCTTCCCAACAATAACCTCCCTGGCGCTCACGACTTGATGCCATCTGGCCATGTCCCTTCACCCCTCCAAGTCCAGCTGTCACTTCCAGTGGGAGGGAGAGCACCATCCTTCCCCACAGCTTCTCACCCTCTCCTTCTGCACATCCCACCCTCTGGCAAGTCTGGAGAGCAACTGGCAGGAAAGAGATGACACAGCTGGTGAGGGTGAGGGCAGAACCTGTGCCAGGAGCCACCGCAGAGCCAGGCTGACACTTAGCCATCCTTCCGGGTCTCCAGAGACCACCCCTTGCTCCCATCCTAAGTAAGGATGCCAGTAATGACCAGATACATGGGAAGGAGTAGCGAACATTGTCTCTTGATCCTAAGTGACCCAGAAAAGTGCAGAGATGATGATTTGATAGCCAGGCCATCTGTTGGGAGAAAGGAGGCAGTGTGATGCCTCCTACCCAGGGCAACTGGCATAGCTTGGTGGTGAATTCAGAGACTGAGTCACCCAAATGAGCCGGGCAGGGACGATCATCTTCATTGCTCATCTCGGGCAGATTAGGGGAAGAGAAGGCTGTGGTTGGGACCTCGGATCCCCCCTCTAGTTCTGCCCCTCCACTCAGAGTGAATGAGAGAAAGCAGAAGCTCAATGGGAAACATGGGGACTTCAGGAGCTCCCAGCGGAAACTGGAAGCATTGGGAGCCCCCTGAGATTACTGTTTCAGCTCCTGTAACACCCCACTCTGTGACCCAGCTGTCTCCCAAAGAGAAGGGGCAGGGCCGGCGCCGCCTGGGCTCTGCTGTGGGGTTGGCCCGGGCTTCTCCCGCTTCACTTGCTTTGCTTGGGGCCACCCTATGTCCAGCTTAGAGGGCAGCTAAGCCAAAGCCAGATTAGAAAGCCTTTTGTGTTGCTGCCCACAGCTCCTCTCATTCCCGGGAGAGGAAAACAAAGGCTCAGTCTGTCTCAGCGCCTGTCAGGTGTCCTTCCCACTCTCTGGAACCCACCCCGCCCCCCGCAACCCACTTGCTCCCCTCCCGCCCCCACAGATTCCAGTGGGTGGGGGTACCGGATGTGGAGTCTCCCAGCTGACCTAGAGCTTTGGGGTGGAGAATGAAAGATTCATCAACCAATTAGGGAGAACAATTGTTGCACAATTTTTGCGAGAGTGGGGGTGAGTGGGCAGAGGACTGGGGATACCAGCCTCGTGGCAGTAATGGAACTGCAGCGAACCGTGACTGAGGAGAAAAGAAAGACTATTGCCTAGAGCAGAAGGAAGCAGAGAGAGCGCGTGTGTGTGTTCGTTCATCTGTGTGGGCGAAAGGAGGATTGGGAGAGAGACAGAGCCAGGAAGCAGCCCTAGGGATGTCTTCTCTTGACCCTAAGTTCCTGGGGAGGGGGTTGCTCTCCCATCCCACCCTGGGTTCCGGGAGGGGCCCGATCTCCCTTCCCAACTTCTTGCACTGATCCCTGGCCTCCCAATCACTGCCAGATGTGTCCCTGCTGCTGGGTTTTCCCAGCCTCCCCACAGCCCCTTCTCCCTCCCAGCTTCTTCCCCAGTGGCACCCCCTCTACCCCGCCGACCACGTGCACCCTCCCTTCTCTCCCCCAGCCTTGGGAGCTCCTTTCGGGGCAGGAAGTGGTCTGTATCTAGTTAGCTCTCCTGGGAATCCTGGGAGTGGAAGGAAGGGACTGGGCTCACTTGCGTGCACTTGTAGTCACTTGCCTTACATCCAGGGATGGCCAAAATCCCAAGGTTCTCTCCAGCCTGACTCCTGAGCAGCCTGCCACTGCAGCCCTGGGATGTTAGTCCTGGAGACCACTCCCCATCAGGTGGGTGAGATGGCCTCCCCGCTCCTCCGACCTCTAGTGTGGCCCAGGCCTACATGAACCAGAGGAAGCTCGACCATGAGGTGAAGACCCTGCAGGTCCAGGCAGCCCAGTTTGCCAAGCAGACAGGCCAGTGGATCGGGATGGTGGAGAACTTCAACCAGGCACTCAAGGTAAGCCACACTGCCTGCCTCACCAGTCTCATCCTGTGATCCTACTGACTGCGCTCTCAGGGGCTCCCCTCTGGCCTGGGGTTAAGAAGGAAGTGGGGACAGTCCCAGAAAGCCCAGAAGTCTATGGCTTCAGTGCCACGGAAGTTAGAGGAAGAGGTAAAAGCAGCTGGTGAGTTCGAGCAAAGCCCTTTCTAGGGGATGGATGGAATGTGCCCCCATCCAGCCCCTGGAGCCACACCCCACCCACCCCGACTCTTGGGCTCCCTTCCAGGAAATCGGGGATGTGGAGAACTGGGCTCGGAGCATCGAGCTGGACATGCGCACCATTGCCACAGCGCTGGAGTACGTCTACAAAGGGCAGCTGCAGTCGGCCCCCTCCTAGCCCCAACTGCCCCCGCTTTCCCCACTCCTCCTACTTGCCCCAGGCGGGCAGGAGGGAGGCTGACAGCCCCTGAATAAAACACAAGCCTCCGTTTCTCTGTGTTTGTCTCAAGGAACTACTAGCTTAGTGTGGGGGGAGGGGATGGAAGAGTCAAAGGCTCTTCCTCTTAAGAGACGCTACCGTTTGGGTGTCTCTTTTGGGTAGGGGCAGGGACTAGCTTCCTCTATCAGTCTCAAGTCTCTTCTCCTCCTCGGGCCTGGTACCTGTTGCAGGTACCTTCCCGGTAAGCAGACGGTGGGCGTTCCCCACCGCTCCCCAGGGAAGGGCAGTGGGCCCCATCCCAAGCCTCCCAACCCAGGACTTCCGTTTCTGGCAGAGGAGAAATGAGACGGGGAGCAGGCCTGGTCCAGCTCTGGCTCTCTGCCTGTCCGCGTGCTCATGGCCTCTCCCAGCCTGGTGCTAAGCAGTGTCATGAGTCTGGACCAGGTGGGAGATTAACTCTTGGGTGTGGGAGCACTTCAGGGCAGGGAGGGGGCGGACTGACAGGTCCAAGCTTACCAACAGAGGGGGGCAGCTGCCATCCTGGACAGATACCCTCGTCTTAAGAATCCGTGACAGAGGGAGCCAGGAAGCCCCACTAGAGCGGACCGAGCCCGGGGGAGCCGGGCGCTGCTGGCTGGTGCCAAGTGCTGGCTTCAGCCCGCAGGCCCGGCTCCCCTGGCTCCTCCTCCCGCACCCCCGCCAGCCCCACATGCACTTAATACTTCTGGCACCCAGTCCGCCCGCCACGGACTTTGGCCTTAGCTGTAGCTAGTTTGGGAGCCTGGGAAGACCTGGACCACAAGTCTCAATCAAAACCAAAGGAGCAGCTTCAGGTGCTGTAGTAGTTGCCAGCAGCTTTCCCCTGAGGAGGTAAGCGGGGTACTGGGGGGAGGGGTGGGCAGCGGCTACGAGGAGACTAGTGATACTGATAACTCACAGCCTGAAGCTCCTCACGGGTCCCCTCACACTTGACCCCCTCTGATCCTCCACGGCTCCCAGGTGGGGATGCTGGGTGTTAGCCCTACTTGGTAGATGAGAAAACCAGTCCAGAGCCACAGGGCGGCCCTCAGCCTCACACAGTAAGTTTGGAGCCACCAGGACTAGAGTGCAGGGGCCCCTTACGCGTTTCCAAAACCAGAGCTCAGCTGGCTTAGTAGGAGCTAAGAGGTGACAACAGGCAAGACACCTCTGCTCCCATGCAGCCGGTCTGCGCACAGGACCCAGCTCGCCTTTCAGTTCAGCTGCCCACAGACACAGGGTCTGCCCAGACCTTCATTTCACTTAGATGAACCACAGTTTGTCTGCAGGTTATCTGCCAAGCAGGTAATTTGTCAATTTGCTCAAACCAGAGACTTCCAGCTAGGCAGGGATCTGAGGGGTGAGGGCCGGCGGCCAGCGTCAACCAGACACGTCCCCCTGCCCCGCCTGGGCTACCGCCTGCAGGTCACCGGGGCCCCGGCCATGTGGCTGCCTCTGCTGCTGGCGGTCCTGCTCTGGGCCGTGCTGTGGTTGCTCAGAGACCGGCAGTGCCTGCCAGCCAGCGACGCTTTCATCTTCATCACCGGCTGCGACTCGGGCTTCGGGCGGCTCCTTGCTCTGAGGCTGGACCAGAGAGGCTTCCGAGTCCTGGCCAGCTGCCTGACACCCTCGGGGGCGGAGGACCTCCAGCAGGTTGCCTCCTCCCGCCTCCACACCACCCTACTGGATGTCACAGATCCCCAGAGCGTCCGGCAGGCAGCCAAGTGGGTGGAAACGCACGTTGGGGAAGCAGGTGAGTGTGGCAGGGGCCACGGGGACAAGCGTGAGAGGTGTGCACACACAGGTGCTGTGGGAAGCCAGGACTGTGTGGGGGGTAGCAGGGCTGAGCCTCCCGGGAAGGAGGGGCCATGGGAATGCCTCCCCGACCCCACGCCTCCCATGCCCCCACAGGGCTTTTTGGTCTGGTGAATAACGCTGGTGTGGCTGGCATCATTGGGCCCACCCCATGGCAGACGCGGGAGGACTTCCAGCGGGTGCTGACTGTGAACACGCTGGGCCCCATCGGGGTCACCTTCGCCCTGCTGCCACTGCTGCTGCGGGCCCGGGGCCGAGTGGTCAACATCAGCAGCGTCCTGGGCCGCCTAGCCGCCAATGGAGGGGGCTACTGTGTCTCGAAATTTGGCCTGGAGGCCTTCTCTGACAGCCTGAGGTGAGGGGGCAGGGACTCCGCTCCAACTCAGGGGGGCCTGCTCAGCCAGCAAATCAGCAGCTGCCCACCACATGGCAAGGGCGAGTTTAGGGCTTAAGAGACAGTTTAGGGCTCGACTTCCTGGGTTCAGACCCCAGCTTTCACTCATGTGAGCTTGGTGACCTTAGCCACTTACTGTTTTTTTCCCAGTTTGTTCCTCCTGTTAAATCACTATGAGGCCTGCCTCATGGGTGAGTAAAATGAGGGCATATGTGAGGCTCCAGCAGAGCCTGGTACATAGAAAATGCCCCCAAGTCCCACTCTCATTAGTGTTTTGTTACTAATGGTGACCATCACTTACCGTGAGTACCTTTACGTAGCACTTTCTTGTGAGCTCTCCCTCAAGTCCTGTGAGGCTGTGTCAGCACCCACAGGGGATGGGTTTCCCTGGTGTCTCAGACAGCGGTGCAGGAGGCCCAGGTTCCGTCCCTGGGTCGGGAAGATCCCCTGGAGAAGGGAATGTCTACCCACTCCATTATTCTTGCCTGGAGAATTCCATGGACAGAGAAGCCTGGTGGGCCACAGTCTGTGGGGTCGCAAAGAGTCGGGCACGTGGAGGAACTAACACACACACGCAAACACCCAAACCCACCCAAGACCACACAACGTGGGGGCACCGGCACATGTGCCTACAGAGCCTGGTCTCATGTCCTGCTGCCCCTTGTCTTTAAGCAACAACCTCCAGAGTCCCAGGAGCACACAAAGGAGGCAGGACCTAGGCACAGGGACAGAATTCGGAACAGACCTTTGGTCCCTCAAGCTGAGCCCGCCTTCTGAAGGAAGCCTTCCTCTGTCACCATCACTCAGCAAATAGCAGCAATATCCATTTTGTCCCTATGCCTGTCGTTTAATTTTCCAATCAGCATCCCAGAAATAACTTTCAACTTGGACTTGGGTGATCTGTTCTGGGTACTCCCACTTTCCCCCAGCAAACACCAGTCTAATTTTTCCCCAGCAAAGATCCAGCACTTTGGACCCTGTGTTTTGGGATCTAGGGAATGTGATTCTTCCAGTTCAGGAGTTGGCAGATTGTGCTTCCAGGGCCAGATCTCTAGCCAGCTGCCTGCAAGCTAATAATGGCTTTTACATTTTTAAATGGTTACATATAATCGGTAATGTAAGTACCTACATAATATTTAGATCTGCAATGCTGAAAATATTTACTATCTGGCCCTTTAAGAAGTTTGCTGGTCCCTGCTCTAGGTGCTAGAAGAGAATACAAAAGGAAGGAAAACCCAAATAAACCTTCTTGGGACTTCCCTGGTCCAGTGGTTACAACTCTCTGCTTTGACTGCAGGGGGCCCGGGTTTGAGCCCTGCTTGGGAAATTAATATCGTGCATGACACAGCATGGCCAAAAACAAACCAAATGAGCCCGCCTTCCCTCTGGCCCGCCTGCCCCTCATCTCGTGGCAGTGGGGATGTCTCTTCCTGTCAGAAATCCTGACCCTCTTCCCATCTCAGCATCCCTACGCATGTCTCTGAAGGTCCTCTCCCCATAAAGACAAGAACCCAGAAACCTCCCTCTGCCCTCACTCCAGGCGAGACGTGGCTCCTTTCGGGGTGCGGGTCTCTATCGTGGAACCTGGCTTCTTCCGAACCCCTGTGACAAACCTGGACACTTTGGAGGCCACCCTGCAGGCCTGCTGGGCACGGCTACCTCCAGCCACACAGGCCCTCTACGGGGAGGACTTCCTCGCCAAATGTGAGTAGCTGGGCCCACAACGGGGCATATGAGGGGAAAAAAGGGTGCCGGAAGGCCAGTCCCTTATCAGCCTGCTGGGAGGAGATATGCGGGGCAGTCAGGGAGGGGGTGAGGGAGAACGGGGTGCCATAGGAGAACACCCCAGCCATAGGCAACCTGCCCATACCCCAAACTGGGGAAGGGACTGAGAACCCCAGGAGACACAGGCTGGGGCAGGCTGGAGCAGGACAGGGACCTGATCACAACCGTCCGCTGGGCTGCAGACCTAAGCGTGCAGCAGCGGATCATGAACATGATTTGTGACCCGGACCTGGCCAAGGTGAGCAGGTGCGTGGAGCATGCCCTAACTGCCCATCACCCCAGAACCCGCTACAGCCCAGGCTGGGATGCCAAGCTGCTCTGGTTGCCAGCCTCCTACTTGCCAGCCAGCCTGGTGGATGTTGTGCTCACCTGGGTCCTTCCCAAGCCTGCCCAGACAGTCTACTAAATCCAGCACTCCAGCAAGAGATGGTTGTTCAAGGCAAGGACTCTGATTTATTCTGTCTCCCACCCTGGTACTGCCTGGTGCCTGGCATATAACAGTCACTCAATAAATGTGTATTATTCAAAACAAAAAACACTGTGGGTGGGCAGAAATGAAGGTGCACAGTGGGAGTTCAGTTCAGTTGCTCAGTCGTGTCCGACTCCTTGTGACCCCATGAACCGCAGCACGCCAGGCCTCCCTGTCCATCACCAACTCCCGGAGTCTACCCAAACCCATGTCCATCGAGTCAGTGATGCCATCCAGCCATCTCATCCTCTGTCGTCCCCTTCTCCTCCTGCCCTCAATCTTTCCCAGCATCAGGGTCTTTTCAAATGAGTCATCTCTTCGCATCAGGTGGCCAAAGTATTGGAGTTTCAGCTTCAGCATCAGTCCTTCCAGTGAACACCCCAGGACTGATCTTTTGGATGGACTGGTTGGATCTCCTTGCAGTCCAAGGGACTCTCAAGAGTCTTCTCCAACACCACAGTTCAAAAGCATCAATTCTTAGGCACTCAGCTTTCTTCATAGTCTAACTCTCACATCCATATGACTACTGGAAAAACCATAGCCTTGACTAGATGGACCTTTGTTGACAAAGTGATGTCTCTGCTTTTTAATATGCTATCTAGGTTGGTCATAAGTTTCCTTCCAAGGAGTAAGCATCTTTTAATTTCATGGTTGCACAGTGGGAGGCTGACCCCATTTAACTCCTAACCTAGGCTGGGGCTTCCCTGGTGGCTCAGTGGTAAAGGATACACCTACCAATGCAAGAGACGCAGGAGACACGGGTTCACCAACCACCGCCACCTAAGCTGACATCCTCCAGGGCCTCTGGCGTGTTAAGTACCTGCAAAACATCTAGTACCCACAAGAGGGCGCAAGGGGACAGGCTTGCGTGTTTGAAGCTGCACCTAGAGACGTGCCCAGCAGAGGGCACTGTTGGATGGCGCCTTTCTGCGCGCAGTGAGGCTGAGGTCGCGTGTTCTAGAGCGGGATAGGGGCGTGGGGAGGTGGTGAAGGGGAGTCACGGCCAAGCTGGGTGGTTTCATGGGAAAACGGGCACCCACTTCTTAAATTCTTCTATTATCTAAGGTAAGTCAAGAAGGACATAAACTGGCCGCACTGGTATAAAAGTGACTTGTCACCGGCCTGAGAGAAGCCGGGCCCCCTTAAGCGTTAGTCGGGCAGGAGTTGCCGGGACCTCAGAGCTGCGCAGAGGGCCAGCGAGATGTCAGTGGTGGATGCAGGCTGGCCTCCCCCAGGGAGGACCTTTGCAGGGAACCCCACTGACGTGGGAGATGGTTTCATGAGCCCTTCGGCGCTGAGCCCGGCAGCACCGGAGGGCCATGGGCCCCAACCTGCACTGGGTCCCCACAGCCACTGCCAGACGGCAGAGAGCCCGCCCCCGCCCCAACAGGCCACCTTTCCCAGAGGCCGGCGAGAACAGGGTCCCAGGGGACGGGAACACGGGTAAAGAGGGAGAGTGGATAGTGTCACTGTCTACGACAAACTGAGACTCCTTCTCTTTGGGGTCTGAAAAAATAATCCGTTTAATTGAAAAACCTGGCGTATATTGCCCCACTCCCCCGGATGAGGGGGCTGAGGAGACAGACCCCCTACATCACTTCATAGCCGCTCCGGATGCTCTTCACAAGGCAACATGCTAAGACAATGCCCAGGATCTAGAAGGACAGAGAGACGGGGGTGGAGAGGAGCCGGGGAGGCAAGACAGAGACCCACCTCGAGACCCCAGAGACAACCAATGCTCCCCTCCACAGACCCGGCCCCCGCTCAGCACCCTCCTGCCGCCCCGAGCTCCCAGATGCCCACGGGTGCCTCTCACCTCCACAAAGGCAATGCCCAGGGCCGCTGCAGCCACCACCAGCACATTCTTCCTCAGCCAGGCCGCAATCTTCTCCACACAGCCCTGGTGGGTGGCAGGCACATAAGACAAGACCCCGTCAGAAATTTCCCACACCCCCCCTCCCCTGCCCACCTGGCTCCCCCACCCTCTGTCCCTTTCACCCCATCCTCAGCATTACCAGATTCCCTCCGAATCCCTGACGCCCAGTTTCCCAGAGCCCCAACCTTCTTCACCTCCACCTCAGTCCCTCTCACCTCCTGAAACATTTCCCAGCTTCCCCAAGCCCCCTACTATCTCAGCACCCTTCCTACCTCAACATGGATGTCCCTCACGATGAAATTAACCCCACAGTTATTGGTGACATTGACACAGCAGGAGTCCGGGACTCGATTGGTCATGGTTGGGATCTTCTCCCAGTCTGTGTAGTTAGCAGCCCCGCAGCACTTAAACTGGGGGAGAGCAGAGATGGGGGAGAGGCTGTTAAGTGACCCCATCTTCAACATGAAGGTAAGAGACTCTCCTTCTCCCACCCCTGCTCCCGGCAACCCCACTCACTTCTTTCTGCATCTCGTCCAGGATCGATGCCGTCTGGTTGTCTTTTGGATAATTCTGCATCTGCTGCCGGAAGTCCTTATTAAATTCTGATCTCACCTGGGAGTAGGGAGGAGCACCGTGGAGGTCAGAACTGAGGGCACCTGGGTCCCAGAGCAGCCAGGCCTCTGAGGCAAGGACTTACCCTCATTCCCTGCTTACCTTGTCTCTAAACACATAGCCAGCAATGGCTGCAGCCACTTCCACTAGCATGATAAGGGACAAGAAGATGGCAAACTGCAGGTGCGAAGGACAGGAGTCAGGTTTGGAGTCTGGGTGGGAGGGCCCTGCCGGTCTCAGGAACATTCACGGTTTCCCTCACCCACCCACCCCCGCAAACCCTGCCCAGAGAAATGCCCTTCCGGCAGCCCCAGGCACCCTGGCTGGCCCACCCCCACTCACCGTGATCATAAGACAGTAGTTCTCCTTGCAGGCTCCACAGCAGCCCACAAAGGCCACCAGGAAGAGGAAGGCACCCACTGCGATAATGACCACGGGCAGCAGGAAACCAGGGGTGGCCCCGTGGGTGATGGTCTGGTTCAGGATGAGGTGGGTCCCGACGCCCACCGCGATCAATCCCACCGCACAGGCCTGTGAGGAGGAGGGCGGGTCAGGACTCAAGACCCACCACCCACCAGCCCCCCACAGTGGAAGGCAGCGGGTGACCCAGGACACAGACGGAAGCCCACTCCAGAGAGACCGATTCTTACACCTCCAGGAAACTTCTGACAGTGGGGGAGGAGGCTGACCCATCCTTGCCCCACTGTGAGGGCTAGGCAAACTGTTCAAGGCTCTCTGAGAAAGCCATCAGGAGGAACCACACCTTCCTTCAAGCAACTCGTCACCAAATGCAAAAAAGAGAAGTTTCCAGTAAGCCTTGATCCCAGGACACACATGCCTCACAGACAGCAGTGCTTCCTTTGAGCCCCTTCCTGTGAGCCTCCAGGGCTCCCAGAATTGCCCTCTCACTATCCCCATCAGCGACCACATCCTCACCCTTTGTGAGGAGGGCGCCAGAGGCCTGCTGGGCCTGGGAGAAGGGAGGGGTTAAAGGGGTCAGAGTGGCCGGTCCCTCCCTGGACAAACAGTAGCCTCTCAAGCCAGGAGCCCAGGACTGGAGCCATAGAGATGGGCAGAGCCCTTACCCACCCCGAGCGGCCGGCAGGGGGGAGGAGGAAATGAGTGGGATGAAGGGAGAGAAAGAACAGAGAAGCAGGGAGCGGAGGCACACCCGCGGCGAGGCGCGGGTAGGCGATAGCATCAGAACAGGCGGTTGGCTGGTTGCCCCACTGCCCCATATCACACGAGGCTGGGTCACCAGACAGGAAGGGCCCGGAGGGCTCGCGGAGAAGGAGACCGGCCATTGTCGGCCCACACCAGCCTCAGAGGTTCCCGAAAGCTGGAGGAGGGGACGGCCTCGCTGGCTTCGGCTGCTGCCCGGGCTTTTTCCTCCCACATCTGGTCTCCAGCTGCCTTGATCGTTGGCCCCTCACCCCTCAGCCGTCCGGAGCCGGGTCGCCCCGCACCCTGCCAGCACGCCCCCGCCGGCCCCGCTCCCCACTCACGCAGAAGGCCAGCAGGAGAACGTAGAGCAGGAACTTGACACATTTCATTCCTCCTTCCACCGCCATGGCTATCGGGCCTGGGCCAGAGGGGCGGGCAGGGGGATCAGAGCCGGTCGAGGCGGGATCCCGCTTTCCGAGCGCCCCGCTGGCCCTCGAGACCTCCCCTGCGCGGCCCCCATTCCCGGCCCCTCCCACCCGGAAACCCGCGGTCAGATCCACGTCTTCCAGCCCCTCCGCTACCCGCAGGAGAGGGGTGGGGGCGCCCGCCGCCAGCGCGGACCCCGCCCCGCCGCCTCCCGCGGCCCGGGGCCCGGCCGAGGGCGCCGGCAGCGGCCAGGACCGAACGCCCACCCTCAGCCCGGCAGACCCCAGGTGTTAAACACCCCCCGCCACGCAACCAGGCACGGAAAACTCTCCTCAGCCCCAGCCCGACCCGCGGGCCCTTTCCCCTGGGTTCTGATCACCGACGAGCACAGATGCGGCCGGCGCCCCCGCACCCCAGCGCGTCCCGGGCCTCCGGAACTTCACCGAGTTGCAAAGTTGCGAGGGCCTCGGGAGCGGCGGAGAGCGCGGCGGGTCTTCGGAGGCCTGGGGCGAGCCCCCGAGGTGGGGGCGACCGCTGACCCCCCCCCCCCCACGCCCCGCCGCAGCCTCGCGGCCTCACCTGGACTCCCGGAGGCTGAGTGCTGCTCTCCCGCCGCCGCTCAGGGGCTCTCTGGCGGCGCCCCCCGGCTCCGGCCCCGCCCGGCGCGCGGCCCCGCCCCGCCTCCAGCCACAGCCCCCTCCCCCCCGAGTGGCCTCCAGCCTCCCTCATGTGACGCGGGAACAGCTGCGGCCTGACTCACTGGGCTCACAAGGGGAAGGCCAAGCCCCCCGCCCGGTCGAGGCCACGTGGCCCCCGCCCGGAAGGCAGCGCCCACCCCCACGAAGCGAGGGCACCCAGG